TAATTACATTTGGTGGTTGAATTTTATCATCTTTTCGTGCTTGATATTTGACCGTTTACACCGGAATCATTAGTTCCGGCATTTTTCATTTTAATTTTACATGTAAAAACGCTGAAACTATTAGTTTCGGCATTTTTTTTTCAATTTTACATGTAAAAACGCCAAAACTGATACAGTTAACTCTCTATAAATGCACCCTCTATAAATGCACACCCTCTATAAATGCACCTTTTATCTAGTCCCAACTTGGGCCTTAATGCTAAATGCACGGTTTTTATATATATGTATTCTGTAAATGCACCCTTTATAAAAAAAATTTTATATAATTTACTTATAAAATTTTTGTATTATCTTAATTTTAGATTAATATCATATAGATTTATATGTATTCTATAAATGCACATCCTCTTTAAATGCACTCTTATACCTGGTCCCAAGGGGGTGCATTTATAGAGAGTTGACTGTAGTTTCGGCATTTTTTTTCAATTTTACATGTAAAAATGCCAGAATCATTAGTTCCGGCGTTTTTCATTTTTATTTTACATGTAAAAACGCCAAAACTATTAGTTTCGGCATTTTTTTTTTCAATTTTACATGTAAAAACGCCGGAATCATTAGTTTTGGCGTTTTTCATTTTGATTTTACATGTAAAAATGCCAGAACTATTAGTTTCGGTGTTTTTAATTTATTTGACCCAAATATATGTCGGGTCAACAGGTCGGGTCAGGTACCGACTAGCACTGATCCGACCCGTGTCAGGTCATGAATTTGATGACCTGACCTGAATATTTCGGGTCAACCCGTCGGGTCACCCGATCTGTCAGGTCAGGTTGCGGAGCTCTATTTGTGATGCTGAATTTATTTGTCCTTGACTTGAACGACAAAATAATTTAACCCATTATTTTACTTTATTTTCAAAATTATTAATTTCAGAATTTGTTAGATTAAGATGTTTTAAAACTAAATATAGATCATAAAAATTATGCCATAATTTTTGAATATCTATACCACATTTTCCTAAAATAAAATCAACAATAGGAAAATGTTGCAAACCCTTTTTCTTATCAGATTCCATTAATGAAGTCCACCCATTTGCCACTATTTGATCTTGACTTAAAAAATTCAAAATGAACTTTAATTGATATCATGGTTTGTTCAACTTGATTTTTTATTTCTCATTTGAATTCCTTTTTTTTAAATAAATCATTAAAAAAATATTCTATCAATACATCTGAAATGTATAATAATAGATATAACTTATCTGGAATGTAATTTTCTTGTTTAATAATAAGAAATAATGATAGTTTTTTTTGACTTATTAGAATTTTACAATTAGAATAAAATTAATTTAATAAAAATTGTTTTTAATAAATTTATACTTACATTTTGTATTTTTATTAATTGGCCAGCATAAATCCATATTCCAGTGTATATTTACTTGCTTCACAATCACAATATAAACAAAAATATTTTGAATTTGAAGCACTTAATCCCATTATATTGTACATAATTACATAAACTTCCAATCACCAGAAAAAAACAACTCAATTGGTTAATGCACATCATTAACAGAAATCCCATTTTCTTGAAGATCTTGAAGTTGATATTTAAATAGATTTCCAACTTTAGCCAATGTTTTGTATCTTTCTTTACCTATACTTTACTAAAAATAATCAATTTTTAAAATGATTTTATAATAATTTTAAAATACTACTAAAATACATCTAATATATTAAAATGTTTTTATTATACTTTAGTTATTATTTTGTAATTGTATTGTATCTAGATCTATAAAATATCTCAAAATAATATCACAATAATTTTTAATGCTTTTATTATTATTTTATTATTATAATTTAATTAACTTTGATATTATTTTAATATTTTAATTTTAAAAATACTTTAAATATATTTTGATATATTTTAAAAATTTTACAAAATAATTGCACAATTGTTTTAAAAGCTATTGTATCTAGATCTATAAAAATATTTCAAAAAATTGGCAATTTTTAGTAAAGTATAAAGACAAATACTAATTTATTATTTAATAATAAATGCTCTAAAAAATTTATAAAATTTAATACTACCTATATTGATGGTCTGGTTTTAACACTTCATCTTTTTCATTTAATAAACAAATAGTTATCATCACATGATTTTGTTTACGTCCTACATTTCTTCCATCTCCACCAAGCTTCAAATTAATTGTATTTCCTGGTAAGGCCACTCCAATTTAATAGTTTGTTTAACGTACTCCACCCCCCTCGTTTTTGAAAAATTTTTAAAGATAAACAAACATATGTTATATCACATGATTTATAACAATATTGCCAATCTGTACAATATTTAAAAGAATTTCTTTGAATCTTCCGAATTTATGTTTTTATAATAAAAATAAATAAAAATAAATAAAAAAATTTCTTTGCATCTGAATCTATATTTCTAGTGGTACAATTAATAATAGTAATATACGTAAACTTATCAATTGCACTATCTGTAATAAACCAAGATATATTTTTAGTAAAATTGCAGAGTGATAAAGAAAAAACTAATTTAGAAATTTTATTAAATAATGTGATTTATATTTGTGGATCTCCTATAACTCCTGAAATACATAATCTTTACAAAAAAGTTTATGTTAGACAAAAAATCTATTGTAGTAGTCCAATTGAAGCTGTATATTATTCATGTCATCATTAAATTATTTGTTTTTATTGTAGGGAAAAAAATGAGTTATTAGAGTCAGATGATAGCTTGAAGAAAAATTTACTACTATATATTCATTTTGCCAAACTTGTAAAAGTAAAGGTTATTAATTTATATGTTTATTTTTAAATGTTTACTTAATTTGACCTCCTCCCCCCCTCAATTTTTATATAAAGTTAGAACGTTAAACAAACTATTAAATTGGAGCGGCCTAATGTTGCTGCCCGAAACTCATTTAACAATAAAATTCAAAAATCCAAAACTCAAAAACTTTATTTTTAATGAAAAAATTGGTAAATCAAAAACTTTCAAATTATAATTAGTTTTGGAAAAGCATAAAACCAGTTTTGACAATTAAGTTTATTATAAAAAATAGTTTTGGATTGAATTTTGACTAAACTAAAATTTTGAAAAAATAGTTTTGGCAAGCATCCTTATTTACTGGTTGAAGAATTGGTGGGTTTGATCTGCTCCAAATAGGAATAAATATTTGAAGAAGATTTCTAATAGATTGATAAACACCATTACCAATTTCTTGTTCATCAACTATGATTCCAATAAGATTATCTTGATGTTCTTCATCATCATCAAGTATGGATTGTTGATTCAATTCTTTATCAAGGTTAATTATTTCAATTGGTATTTGTTCATTAATTAATTTTGTAATTTCTATTCTCCTTTGTGCAACTTGATATTCACGCATCAACCTTGTTTCCACAGCAGCAAGTCTTCGATATCCCATCATGACCTAATAAAGCTTCATCACAGGCACGTACATAGGCATCTAATTTTATATGATCTAATGATAAATTGTATTTTATATTAATAGTATGATCTTCATATCCCAATTCCATATTACGTAAGTGAATTGGCTCCCCAGATTCTGATACCATTCGATGTTGTAAAATAAGCTGTTTAATTTTCTTGTGAGCATCTCTTATTTTGTTGTGATACTGATACTACTTCACTAAGTGGTCTCTTTCTTTTATCAATAATAGTAGTTTTTTCTAAAGATGATTCTCCAGTTCATACTTGATGTAATATTTCAATATCAAATCCAAAAAACATGTATTCCAGAAATTTTGGATTTTTCACGATTAGTTTTCTATATTAATATGTAACAATTCGTAACAATTAATAAAAAACGCGTAAAAACGCGTATTTATTTTTTTTAAAGAATATTAATATAAATTTAATTTCCCGAAAATAAATAATTAAATACCTTTAAAAATGCATTTACAGCTCCACTAGCAGACCGCTCACTAGATACTACCCATTCTGCTCAACCTTCTTTCCATGTAATTGTATATAAAATTTTATTTGCAATAGTATACTTTGTTTCACAACACAGCATTTGGTCTGCAACTTCCGTCTTTACGATATATCCATCAGGAATTTGATATTGAACAGCGTTTTGACCACGACCACTTTTCTGTGTATATTTAACATTTTGTGGATATTGCCCAAGTGCTATTATCTTATATTTTGAGCGAAAAACCTTTCCTCCAGCTATATACTGAGCGTATATATATAAGGGTTATTAAGATAATCCTGATAAAAAATTCTTGCAGGCTATATTGTAAACATTTAATAGTTAAGTTAATAAACGTGTATATTATTCATAAAGAAAGTAAATTTGCTTACCATAGGGTGATTAGAATGTTACAGAGAGTCTTTTTATGTATTTTCTGTTTTTTTTATCAAAAATTTTTGAAACCCGAATAGTAAAAATAAAAAAATAACAGCTATTAGAAAACCTCTTCTATATTTTCTCAATTTTGCAATGAACCCTTTTCAAACTAATCTACAACTAATCTGAAACTTGCGATTCCAATAGTAAAAAAAAAAAAATTTTTTTTTTTTTTATCATTAGCATGTTAGGAGCTCTAAATTAGAGTTATCAGTCAGATCAGGTTACATCACAAAATGCACTTAGTGAAGCGAGATCAGCCCATATGATAAATCAATGGACGCCCCTTGACTATATATATACCGGTACCTTATTAATTAAAACATGATCTACAACTAACATTTTTTTGTTGACTTTTAAAGACAAGCATATTCGCTTAAATTGGGGTTTACAACGGCAAAAAAAGTTGTGGTGTTAATGAAAAAAAAAAATTTTTTTTTTTAATTTAATTAAATAAAAGGACAACCTTTTATTTTTATTTTACACAAATTCTTTTTAATTATATACTTTTTTTCTAAAATATTTTTCACCGTAATGCCATAATGAATACTATTAACCAAGCTTTCGGTGCCGTAGGAAACGCTGTAGGTTCATATATGCCTTTAGTTGAAATAGCTTCGGGTTTAATTAAGGCAATAGTAGAAGTTTATCGAGCGGCAGAATATAACAAAAAAATTTGCCGTGCTCTAGCAGAACGAGTTGGAATAACTGTTGCACCTTTGGAGTTGTTAAAAATTAGACATGAAAATGAATTACGCGATGAAGTATTTTATTCCGCTTTTTATAAATTTATTTATGTTTTAGAAAATATTAAAGAATATATTAATGAAGTTTCGAAAATTCACGGTTTTAGAAAATATGCAAAAGCAATTGTTGTAAGGGAAAAATTTGAAAAACTTACGGAAGATTATGATACTGCAATGAAAGATTTAAATTTTACTTTGGTAATTGCTAATGAAGAACGAAGAAAGAATGACGAAATAGCTTTATCAGAAGATCTTGCCGAATTTGAAAAATATCTTAGTGCGATTGATAGTAAAGCTGACAATATTTATGAAGAGGTAAAGTATATTAGGAAACATCTTGACGATAAAACATTTCATGGTGCAAATAAGATTGATTCAAAAAGTCTATTACTTCCTGCACGAGGGAAACCTGATAATAGACGTGGTAAATTTCCTAATTTTGTGGAGAAAAGAACTCTTAATGGACAAGAAGTAGCATGTAAATTAACTTCAACGACTGACGAAGAAATGGAATCAAATACAAGAGTGCAAGGACATCTTGAAATTTTAATGAAATTATCGACATGTAATCATATTCTTAGATTTTATGGTGTCTCAAAAATTGACGAAACTAATGCCATGGTTTTTGAATGGGCTCAACGTGGAACATTGAAAGAATTATATGAATTAAAGGATATTCAATGGCATTATAAGGTTCAAATTGCTCTTAAAATTTGTCGCGGGCTTATATTTTTACAAAGTGCTGAAATTTTACATCATGACCTGAGATGTGAAAATATCTTGATGACAGAAAGTTTAGAACCAAAAATTTATAACTTTAAGTTGGCACGTCATACTTTCGACAAAACCACTACTTTAAAGGGAGAAATTAACGACGCTGTACGTTGGTTAGCCCCTGAGAAATTAAGCAACTATAAGTCAAAATATACGACGCAATGTGAAATTTTTAGTTTTGGTGTTCTACTTTGGGAACTTGCTTTTGAAAAAATTCCATATAGAAGTCTGGAAGTAGATAAAATTAGAGATTTCGTGATTAAAGGTGGTAGAGAAAGAATTAAATTTGGGAATTCCACTTCTGAAATTTCTAAACTTCAAGAAGCTTATAAACAAATTATAGATGACAGTATGTATTATTCATATCAACAATCATATAATATACTAGTAAATTATTAAAGAAAATGCTTTCATTAACTTTTATATAACTAACTAGCTTGGAAGAATAATCCACAAGAACGTATTTCCTTTTTGAAAGCATTAGACATGCTAGAAGAATTATATAATTCTATCAATCATATGTTCGATGAAAATTTACCAGCTTTACTTGAGGATAAATCCCTGGACTTAGATGGATCAAAAGCAATTGATGATATCGATGATGATGATGAATTTGTATTACCAGACGATTTTACAGTTCCAGCAATTCCATTAGATGAAGGTATACAAGCTCATAAGAAAGGTGAATATCAAAAAGCATGGAATTGTTTTGAATATCATGCAAAAAATGGTAATACACTAGCAAAGTGTTGGAAAGGTCGTTATTTATGGGATGGATACCTTGACGGTATTAAAGAACGTGATGACGGTAGAAAATTACTTAAAGAAGCTGCCGATGAAGGACATGCTGATGCTCAGTTATTTTATGCTTTTACTTTAAAAAAGTCAATGAATGAAGGTAAAAATATAGACACGTTTATTGATTATATTACTAAAGCTGCCAAAGGAAATAATGAAGTTGCGCAATATAATTTGGGTGATATATATTATAAAGGAAAATTGAATATTCCAAAGGATGAAAAAGAAGGAATTAGATGGTTAAAAATGGCTGCTTTACGTGATAACACTAGGGCAATTAAATTACTAAATGAAAAGGGAATAAAATATATTTAATTTATTATTAACCGTGTTATTATTTTTTTTTTATTATATTTTTTTTTATACCAAATTTTAAAATAAAATTATAAATTTTTTCCTTTTACTATTTTTACTATGTAAACTGATACTCCATAATATAAGTATTAATTTATTTTTCATTTGCACAAATAAGGAATCTGAAATTAAGAACTTCACCATAACTTCAATAATCATACTATAATCAGGCCAGTTGGAGCGAAAAAAACCAATAATTTCAATAGGGATAATAGGATATAAATAAATAAATATTTGATCTTAAACCGGATTATGTCAAGTTTTGTAAGTACAGTATGTTACTACAGTATATAAATTAAATATTAAAAATCTTATAATTTAACAAAAAAATCCCGCCTTGCCAGTATATTCAATGAGTTTAGAGAATCAATTAATTGCAAAATTGATGTTGCATGAAACGTTCTGTATCAAAATTTTTTCCATTGTTATGAAAAACAAAAAATGTAATATTACAATCAATATTTAATTAACCATACATCGAGTGTGAAATTATCTAAATTTCATGAAATTAACATGTCAAGAAACATTTAGTACATTTTGTAAAATTGTTAGTACAGTACTAAAGAGAAAAAATGATTGATAATGATAAATAATTGATGACTGAAGAAAGTCAAAGCTTAGAAAATGGATCAAAAAAAAAAATAAAAATAAAAATTATGAGCAACATTGATATTTTTATAAAGATCAGACATTGTGAATAAAGTGATAATTAAAGATGAAAACTAAGTTATACTAAATGTTTCTCGTTGATAAAAAAATTAAAAATTTACAGAGAACTATAAACCACAGTTACCTATATTTGAATGAATACTAGTAATAAAAATATTTTATTAGTTTTAATTGAATTATAATTTATTCATAAATTGAACAATAACTTATTCGTAATTCATAGTTATATATACACAAATATTGAATTATTTTATTGTAAGTTAAACTTTAATAACAATGCAATAATACATTATACATTAAGGGCCATAAGGGATCATATCAATTTGCATTATTTGCACAATGAAAGTATTCTTGCATTCTTGCATTTAGGATGGCATGTAATTTAAAACAAGTTGTTTTAAAACAATTTAAATCAGTTTTTTATGTTTTTTATTTGATTTAAAATATTGATTAGCATGATTAGGGCAGTGACATATATTAGCTAATATTATTTTAATAGTAACGTTTACTCCCCCACCCCCAGGTAAGATTTTATGACCAATCACAACCATTTTACATGGTTTATATTATGTGTAACCTAAGATTTTCTTTTACTCCCCCACCCCTAAAATATTAGCTAATATATGTCATTGCCCTTATCATAATAATAAAATTACACATATATTTTTAGAAAAAATTTGATTTTATCTCATTTTTCTTAAAATTATGTTTTGCAGAAGACTACCATTAAAAGACATTCACAAGCACTTTAGAAATTGATGGTTGTAGTCAAAAAATACTTTGTCAAATATGTAATTATTGTGAAAGTAATATTATTGATTTTATTAATTGATTAAAAAATCATTTGATAAAATGTAAAAGTTTTTTAGAGAATTTAAAAGAAATTTTACGCAGAAGTTTTATTGTGGTTGAACATGTCTGCTGTATTCTTTCAATTCCAACTTTTTTAGTTGCTGCTGAATGTAACTAGTCCAATTTGGATTTATTTTTTAGGATAAAAATCTGCAAAGATCTTAAGCTTAAATTTCTGTACAAATCTGCTACCCTGTCAACGTATATCAGAAAAAAATTTTTAATAAAATCTATGCAGATCTGTAAATGTTAAAAAATCTGCGCAGAATTTTAAAAACAAATCTTCAGAATTTTTCAAAATAACTCAAATTCAGTTATCTGCTATTAAATATTAACTAATGTCAATTTATTTAATTTATTTAATAAAAGCATTACTACAAATTAATTAAACTACACAAATTTATACATTGTTAATAGTTTGGATATTATTCCAGTTAGTTCGATTTCAACAAACAACAAATAAAATAGAAAATTAGAGATATTTATTACAAATTTTGAAGTTATTACTTTTAAAATGTTTGACATAAAATCTCAGGATCTGAAAAATAAAGAAAATCGAATGTTAGTAAAATATTTATTAAAATAAACCAAAAAATTTATTTTGAAGTATTATTACCTTCCAAATTTTTTCAAATAAAAGTCCAGGACCTAAAAATAGAAGAAAAATAAACGTTAGTAGAATGTTCATTAAAGAAAATTAAAAAAAACTTCAAAATGTCATTACCTTTGAAGTTTTTTCAAATGGAGCTAGGACTTAAAAAATAAAAGAAAACGAACGTTAGTAAAATGTTTGTTAAAGAAAATTAAAAAAATAGACATTTCGAAATGTTATTACTTTTGAAATTCTTTCAAATGAAGCCAAAACCTAAAAAATAAAAGAAAACGAATGCTAGTAAAACATTTATTAAAGAAAATTAAAAAAATAGAAATTCTGAAGTGTTATTACCTTCAAAGTTCTTTCAAATGGAGCCAGAACCTAAAAAATAAAAGAAAATGAACGTTAGTAGAATATTCGTTAAAGAAATTAAAAAAAAAGAACTTCAGAGTATCATTACCTTTAAAGTTCTTTCAAATGGAACTGGAATCTAAAAAATAAAAGAAAATAAATGTTAGTAGAACATTTGTTAAAGAAAAAAACCATAAAAAAATATAAAGAATTTGAAGGTTTACCTTTAAATTTTTTCATTCAGTAGCCAGAGAATTAAAACTCTACAAAAAAAAATAAAACATTACTAATAAATGTTTTATTAAATTAAAAACCAAGTTTTACCTTTGAAATTCCATACAAGATCCCATTCAGTAGCTATAGACCTAAAAAAAAATAAATAAAACGAAATGTTAGTTAATGTTTCGTTTAAATAAAAAAATGAAATAATTTCAAAGTTTTACTTTCAAATTTCCATTCAGACAGAACTGAAGAGTCAACAATCTAAAAAAAAAGATAAAGAATGTTAGAAACGTTCTTTTATAAAAATAATAAAAAAAAATATAAATTTTATAATAAATTTTTCATTACAAAACTTACCATTTCAAAGTTTTGGAAACCTTTGAAGTACTAAAACCTGTTAACATTTCATTTAAATAAAAATAAAAAAAAACAGAATTTCAAAATTTACCATCGAAATTTTATCCAGAAAGCATCTGGAGAGCCATATTCCTATAAAACATAAAAATAAAACGTTAGAAAACGTTTTATTAAATAAATAATAAAAAAATTTTTAAAGGCTTTACCTTTGATATGGAAGTCCAGAATTCATTTTCAGCTTCCTTTATCCAAAACAAAAGGAAATAAACGTTAGTTTAATGTTCATTATATTAATTTAAAAAAAATAATTTTTTTTTCAAAAGTTTTACCTTTGATATGGAAATTCAGCTTGTTAATCAGCTTTCTTTAACTAAAAAAAAGTAAATAAACGTTAGTTTAACGTTTATTATATTAATTAAAAAAAATAATTTTTGGCCACTTAGAAAGCAGGCTTTTTTTTTATTATCAGTTGACGTTTGAGATGTTTGGGTAGTTGGAGGCTTGATGTTTATTACCCTTTTTATTCAGTTTTTCCCCTTGGGGTTTTCTGAAGTTATGACTTTCCTTTTATTTTTTTTAATTTTTTTCTTTTTTTTCCTGGAATTTTAGCATTATTATTAGTTCTTGGTTTTCTTTTGAGAAGACTGGGGGTACTGGAATGTTGATCATTTGGGCTGGAGGTTTGGTGTTACTTAACTTTTTTAGATTTATGTAAATTGGTCAATAAGGAGGGCTGATGGGATTGGTGGATTTTAGTTTTTAATTTTTACTAATCATAGTTGATTAGCAGGTGATCCCTCAAAAGTAGTTTTATTAATTTACTTTTAGTGTTATTGGCTGAATCTGGTATATCTGCCTGAGTTTAGGTGAGTAAGCCAGCAAATGGTTGTTCATCCCAGAATATGCCAACTCTAGATAATAGGACTTTGTCTTAAATGCAGTATACTTTGGTTGAGCATATCCGTGAGTAGATGAGGCCCTATTATGCCATTTTGCTGATGGGTGGAGGAACCCTGTAGGGATTATAGGGGTTTAGTTGCTAACAATCTTTTAGTTCGTTGATACTTCTACAATAGTAATAAGGATATTTGGTGTATTTCAGCCTTATATTATAGTGATCTTAGGTTTTTCACAGTTAAATTGAAGGATTTAAGTGAATCTCATAAGGTGTTAGCAGTATATAGGTACAATCTTTTTGATGCTGACCTGATTAGGAGTCTATTAGTTGCTAGTTATTATGTTAATACTTTTGTATTATTGTTTTAATGAACTCACTAATTGCATTGCTTGTATTAAAAAAAAAAAATAATTTTTTTTTTTGAAGGTTTTACCTTCGATATGAGAGCCCAAAACTTGTCTTTTAGCTTTCTTTAACTAAAAAAATAAGACGAAATATTAATTAATGTTTGTCAATATAAATTAAAAAAAAAATAAATTTTTTTTTTGAATCAACATCCAATGATTGTAGTGTAGAAAGATGTGCTATAGCTCATTGGAATCATCTTATAATAATAAGTCGAATGATAGTTAAATCATCTTTCTATGATTATTGGATGCCGAGGTAATAAGCAAAATGTTAAATGGTGTAGTATTCTAAAATACAAAATATTGATTTTTGATATTTCATTCAATATCTCAACATCCAGTAATTGTAGAAAGCCATTCGTCTCTAAAAGTCATTAAATAAATTGGATATCAGTATTATGCAATGGATATAAGAATAAGTAGACAGTATATTTCTAGCTTCAGATCAGCTTTAAAAGTAGCCTGATGGAGATGTCCTCATATAAGGTGCTGTCTTCCTGAGAAATTTTAAGTACATAGTTGAATGGTTATCCCTTGAGGATGATAGGATACTAGTCTGAGAATGCCTCATAAAAGATAGAGGGAGGTTTGGCCATAAAACTATAGCAAAGTAGAAAGCCAATCAACTCGTTATTATGAGACGATTCCAATAAGCTATAGCGCATCTTTTTATTTTGCTAGAAGTTTATGGTCAAGGCTTTCGTTCCAATCCATCTGTCTATAGGACGGGTCTGCCTAGTATCCTATTATTCCCAAGAGCAACCATATTACCAAGTACTTAATTCCTCAGATAATCAGCACCAAGTATGAGAATATTTCCCACCAGGCCACTTTTAAGGCTGATCTGAAGCTAGAATATACCATCTACTCATCCTTATATTCATTGCATGATACTGGTACTCAATTTATTTTATGACCTTTAGAGAGCACCTACTTTCATGGAGGACTTTCATCAACCATCTAATACCTTTCTATACCACCATTTTAGGTACGAGGTTTCACTCAAAGGCTACTATGGTGGCAGTCACCTATAAACAACAATAGTCCAAAATTTTGAAATTTATTTATTTATATTGTGTAACTTATGTTTTAAAGTACTTTGTCAAAATATTAATTGCCGCATGAGCGGCAAAATTTTTTTTTTGCCATATTACATGGAATTCTTGTGGATTTCCATGGAATTTTTGTAAAATCCATAAAAATTACATGAAAACTAGTCCGAAATTTTATATTTTTATTATTGCTACTTATTAAAATTATCCAACTTTAACCCATAATATTAATTAAAATTCTTATTAAATTCTATAAAATAATCTGATAGAAATGTTCAGTACATGTTGCTATATCATTTTATCGGTTTAGTTTTTTCTTTTTACTATTCAATTTACAATTTATAAAAATTTGAAGTTACTTAATATTAGTGTGGTTTATAGGTGACAGCCACCATACAGCTTGCAATTATCCAGCACCGATAATACAGTTAAGTGGTATACTTTGTAGTGACTACTCAGACCAGAAGTAGCAGGCTAGTATCCAGGATCACCCCTTAAGGTAGGTATTAATCATCAGGGATCATCAACTAGGATCTAAAGAGTAGGAAATCGAACCTCATAACCATGCTATCTATCCTGTGCACGAAGACTTTGGTTGGCCTATCTAAGATCTAACAAAAAGTCAAACTACTACAAAGACATTGCACCCTCAGCTTTATTATTTAGGATGACCATCTAGCCTCTAAGAACTTCAAGTGGTATCGTAAAGTGACTATCTGGACAGAAAGTCCTCCTAAAGTATAGTAGTGACCTCAAGAATAGAACTGCACATACGCCAATGGTCTCATAGGGAACATTAGAAGGACATCATGACCCTTAGTTGAAATGTGTAGCCTAACTGTACACACTAATTCACCATGATGCAGTCCAACTACGTTAATCTCTATACCTTTACGCTATTAGTTGTAACATCTGCAGTAAAATTCTTTTTATTTTCGTAGTCATGAGAATCGAACCTGCAATTTCACTATACTCAGACTATATAGGGATACTGCCACCTTAACAACTACACTAGGGTGACTACTAACCCTTATAGCACATTTTTCTATAATCATTGGATGCTAAAATATTAAGTGAAATATCAAATGACGCAGTATTGCAAAATATAAAATGCTAATTTTTAACATTTTGCTCAATATCTTAGCATCCAGTAATTATAGAAAGATGATTTAATTACCATTTAATTTATCATTATGAGACAATTCCAACGAGTTATGGTGTATCTTTTCATGATTATTGGATGCTGAGAATATAGTATTCTGATACTGTGAATTATGCTATTGAAGAGTTGAAACCAATCCAAATTTAAAATCAATCTGAGGTGTGAATCAGCAACATCAGATCAGAAAAAATTATTCAAATTTTCATTTATTGTTTCTTTAAAAGTTTTCCAAACTTCACTATCATATATATCAGTTAAGATATTAAAGTTGAACAATTTATCCAATACCTTAAAGAACTTTCAAAGTTAGGTTGACAATACATTGCTTTCAATTGTTACTTAATACTCACAAATGGAAATAATAATTCAGGTTTGATTGAAATTTGATTATTTAACAATATTGTTTTCTATATCAAAGGTGTTTGGCATAACCTTAATCTTTGAGTTATCAAATTAGAAAATTCAAGAACATGAATAAGCTTCAAAAATTTTGTGATATTTGTCATCATTAAATGGTTTATTATCAAATGATTCATTTTTATAATTGATATTTGCATCTTCCTCCATAATATATTCAGAAAATTCAGAAAATTCAGAAGATTTATTATTTACTATATCTCCTAATTCAGCAATTATAACTGGTTAAACATATCTTCTTGATCATTATCTACTAGGCAATTCAGCTTCTGGTTCTCTAATTTATGGTTTATCTGATATTAAGGTACTCTTGTATAGTTCATCACTAGGCAATTCAGCTTCTGATTCTTTCATTCATAGTTTATCTGATATTGAGACACTTTTGTATAGTTTATCACTAGGCAATTCAACTTCATCAGGTAGATGTACTTCTGTTTTTCTGAATCATTATCTGATTAATTTCTTGGATAGTTTTTGTATAAGGATTTATTAATCATTTATTACATTCAGAACAATTATATATAACTAACCTTCCGCTGATACATAATGATGTAAGATAAGATTGATTTGAAGATTCTTCGTCAAGTATATTTGACACTAAACTGGTTCTTTATATACGTGATATACATGATGAGAGTATGGCCTGCATAAAATCTAGAAGCTGATTCTTTATTATCTTCATTAAGTATACTTGATAATGATTTTTTTCTCATCATTTTTGTGAACATTTTTCAAAATAAAGTTAATTGTTAATAATATACCTTTATATCAATGTACTTTATATCAATATAATTTGTATTAAAATACTTAAATTATAATAAATTTTATTAAAATCATCTACTGCGTCAAACCGTCGATATAATAAATTATATTAAATTTTATTAAAATCATCATGATGTTGATTTGCGTTTAAATTGTTTGATTAATAATATTAATAATAAAATAGACTATTAATTAATTGATCAATATAATGGTAAAAGTTTCTTAAAGTTTAATTTAGACTATTAATTGATTAATTGATTAATCAGTATAATGGCAAAAGTTTCTTAAAGTTTGATTTTTAACTTTTTTTCACCAACCTTTTCTTTTTAGAGTTTTAATGTCTAATACTTTTTGCAACCAAAAAAAAATAATGAGCCAAAATAGAAAAAATAAAAATACTAACAAAGGTTTGACTAGTGATTGAAATAAACTGATTACTAATATCAATAAAAGTTTGTTCAATATCTAACAATCTGTTAAAAGAACTGCTATGCATTATTTGTTTGGTGATGCAAAATAGAATTAAGTTCTGAAGTCTTTTTTTTATGATTTACTTATGAGTTCATAAGGCATATTGGAGTATCAAAATTAGTTTAAATTTCGCATTATGGGATGTATATAAAATAACGTGATAAAAAAAATTACAACTATATGGTATACTGAATTTCACGATAAAGCGATTTTTTTTAAAATTTCATCTTTATATATGAACATATAAAAATCAGTATATAAAACTTATAAATTTTGGTATACTGATTTTTTCATTGAACCCCAATTCATTCTGACTGTACAGTAATATTTTTTGAAACCCCTTTTACTTTAATTCAATTTCAGTAAATTCTTTTATTTATTAAGAATTTAAATTGAAAATTACATAAATACAAAAAATCTGATTTAAAAAATTATTAAATTAACATGATTATACATTATCAAAAACATTATCAAAACAAAATTGATAAATAAATATTTTACATACATACAATACAATAATACATTTTATATATAAATTACATACATACATACATATAAATATATATACTATATATGTATTATATATACTAATAATACAATTAAATAAATAAATAAATAATCAATCCTTTGTTAACACTTTTTAAGACTAATAATAAATTAAGTATTTCGAACAATTTTTTTTAAAGATTTTCTTTTTTTCAACATTTTTCTTTGCACAAATCCTAAATACCATATCATAACCATTATAATGATTTAATTCTTTAAAAGCTTCATTTGACTTTTAAATTATATTCTTAAGAATATAAGAAGAAACTGAATGATATAAATTTTTTGTAGCCTATTTTAAATTTCCAAATAAAGGATTCATAATCTACCTCCCATTCTCCAATTTATCCTCAAAGTGAATATCAGATAATTGATTATTATCTAAGCATATTCTAATAATTGAACTTGGCATCATATTTATATTTTTTAATTCGTATATATTGATTGTTTTATTTTATTGTTATCTAGTATCATTTTTGCCAATATCTTACATATAGCTAATCTTCAAATAATATAACAAAGAAAATAATGATAATAATATAACTAATAATAAAAAAAGCAAGTATGAAAACCCCGATTTCTCTACAGGTAAAAATCCTGAAACTCCATACTCATCACGTGACTCTGAATTCTGCATAACGCGGGCCATTTGTCGGGTGACCCTTTGGGATATTCTTTCTTTACCATTATTCTTATCTTCAATTAGCTTAATTTTTTTAATACTTTCGCCTAAAAAATATATATATATACTAGCCGTTAACCCGTTGCTTTGCAACGGTATACATACATATAAAAAAAGCGTGACCTGCATGTAACAATTAATTCTGGCCGGAATTATGTGATCGGCGCAGAAATTTCCTTTTATGGAGTATTTGTGAAACCAAAATTCCCAAATTTTAAAGGAAAAAAAAATTACATTTTTGGAAGTTGGTGTAACGTCACGTGATAAAGTGCCCAATAGGAGCGATGTTACGCAATTCAAATTTATTTATACAGGGTAGTCTAAACGTTACGGTTACACACAAAAACAATTATTATATAGTATAGATATAGATATAGATATAGATATAGATATATTTATTTAAATGAGTAAATATTGGCTTCTTCAACATGATAAAAATTTCTTTGCCGTACCATTGTCAAAGTTATTTTCAGATTGATTATTATCTTCAAATTTTTGGTCTTAAAAAAAAAAAAATTATAAAATTTGTTAATGATGATTCAAACGAAATAAAAAGTTTATAATCAAATAAACAAATAATTACTATTAGAACTTCTTTGATGATCTGAATTCTGAAAATTGAATGAAAAGTTAAAATAATTTAAATTATATTATGAAAAAATACAATGTAAATTACAAATTATACACCTTCTGAAGTAATAGATTACTTTTTAAACTTCTTGTAGAAGCTGCAGATTTTATCATATCGCTTAAATATCTACTCTTGTATACGGCACCTGGGTTATTGGTTGTTACAGGTCCAATATCTGATGATTTAATAATTTTAGTTTGATCCACATTTCCATTATAATTTATATCCCGAATTACTCTTTTTACTCAGCTGCTGTTGGTCTTATTTCCGGATCAGGATGCCGGCACTTTTTCATTAAATTAATAAAACCCCTAGGCGCATTTGTAATAATTGGTGGACGTAAACCATCACATATTTCAATTATAAGTTCTGTATTATGATTTATTTCAAAAAGGTCTTCTTCCTACCACATAATCATTCCAAAACTATATATATATCTGATGCTTTGGTATACTTTTTTCCTTGTAAAACCTCCGGTGTAACATAAGGAATTATGCCATAAATGTTGTCTTCTTCATTATCATTGTTATCGTCATTTTCTGTTGCTGATTTACTTGTTCCTAAATCACATATTTTTGCTATATCATAAAAAATGTCTAAAAGTATATTTCCACTATGTAAATCTCGATGTATAATATTTACGTCATGAATTTTAGTGTCCTTTTATAATATCATGCAACATACGTATCTTATCATACCAACTAATATTATAAAAATCTTTAGTTATATAATGCGTCAAATCCGAATTATAATATGGCATAACAAATATAAGATCTTGAGTGGATAGTAGGGTCTTGAGTAATACCATAATATACATTAACAAAATCAAACTTCGCATCAATAGATTTATTTTTTTCCCGATTTGAAGAATAATGATAAAACATCTTAAGCTGAAACATATCGGCTGATTGGAAAAATCAAGCCAATTGATATTTAAGCTCAGTTGATGGGTTCATTATATAACTGATGGGTTACTTATCGTCATTAGCATATAAAATTATGGGGGGCTTTTCTGATCAGCCGATATGATAAATAAAAATTATTGTCTCACATTTAAAGTTTATTGATAATTAATATGGAATATTTACCTCATTTAGCCCTTTAGAATTAATATTTTTAGAGTTGTTAAGCTTTTTAAGAGCAACTGTTATAGATTTATTTTGGAGTGAATAACTTAAAGTCCCTTATATAAAATTTACAATCAATCCAAGTAGCTTTATAAATTTTACTAAAACCTTCTTCGCCAATAAGTTCTATATTTTTGAATTTATCATAAGGAACAAATATCATTCTTCCATATTCATTACCATTAGTTAATGTATAACTAATAAAATCGTCAATAACTTTGTTTCCACTAGGTATAAATAATTCTTTTGCTTCGTAACAAACGCCACACCAATCGTTGAATTTAAACTCTCTTTTTTTACACTTATTACAGAGCGGCAAAGTTAAAGGTCGTCAATCATAATTTCATTAATATTGTCAACAGATTTTTTTACGAATTTAAAAGTGTCGTAAAGATCCGTACAAATCTTTTTTCTTATTAAATTAATATATTGAGCGTGAAGTTTTTCAACCGAATTGTATTCAATTTATGATTTTATGTGATTGTATAGTATACAAATACGAATATAAAGCGCAGTAAAATTTGAAAATTCTTTTCTTGATAGAATTTCTTGATTTTCATTAATTGTTTGGTGATACAACATAGAATTAAATTCTGGAAGGAAAAGAAATTCTTTACTTACGAATGTCACAACGCAATTAATTAGTTAAAATTCCGCATCACGGGATGTACGTAAAGTAACGTGATAAAAGAATTACAACTATGCGGTATATCGAATTTCACGATAAAGCGATTTTTTGGTCCGACCGTGAGTCTCTGATTCACGCTCATGTTTCTTCGACAAAACTTTCTCACCAAGGTGGCATCGCCCAGTTCCGAAAGGGCTGATCGCGATTTGGTCTTCAGTTGTTGGAATTGCTTTCGGTCTTAGCGTATAGGATCTTTGTAATTTTTACTGTAACTTTGTTCACTTTGAGAAATAAAAATAAAAAACGATAAAGCGATTATAAAAATCGTTATGTCAAACTTATAAATTTTGATATAACGATTTTTTTCATTAACCGAAAGGTTTGTTATATCGAGTTCTGACTGTACAGTAGTATTTTGAAACCCCCTTTACTTCAGTAAATTCTTTTGTTTATTAAGAATTTAAATCGAAAATTATATAAATACAAAAAAAAATTCGATTTAAAAAATTATTAAATTAACATGATTATACATTATCAAAACGTTATCGAAAACAAAATTGACAAATAAGTACTTTACATACATACAATACAATAATACATTTCATACATAAATTACATACAGACATACATATAAATATATATACTTACTATATATATATATTATATATACTAATAATACAATTAAATAAATATATTATAATCAATCCTTCGTTAACGCTTTTTAGAATAATAATAAATTAAGTATTTCGAACAATTTTTTTTAAAGATTTTCTTTTTTCAACATTTTTCTTTGCACAAATCCTAAATACCATATCATAACCATTATAATGATTCAATTCTTCAAAAGCTTTATTCGACTTTTAATTATATTCTTAAGAATATAAGAAGACACTAAATGATATAAATTTTTTGTAGCCTATTTAAAATTTCCAAATAAAGGATTCCTAATCTACCTCCCCATTCTCCAATTTATCCTCTAAAATGAATATCAGATATTATTATCTAAACATATTCTAATAATTGAACTTGACATCATATTTATATCTTTTAATTCGTATATATTGATTACCAATATCTTACATATAGCTAATCTTCAAATAATATAACAAAGAAAATAATAATAATAATATAACTAATAATAAAAAAAAACAAGTATGAAAACCCCGATTTCTCTACAGGTAAAAATCCTGAAACTCTAATGCTGGTCATACTCATCACGTGACTCTGAATTCTGCATAACGCGGGCCATTTGACGGGTGACCCTTCGGGATATCCTTTCTTTACCATTATTCTTATCTTCAATTAGTTTAATTTTTTTAATACTTTCGCCTAAAATATATATATATATATATATATATATTTAAATGAGTAAATATTGGCTTCTTCATCATAATAAAAATTTTCTTTACCGTACCATTGTCAAAGTTATTTTCAGATTGATTATTATCTTCAAATTTTCGGGATTTTCTTTTGTCTTTAAAAAAAAAATTATAAAATTTGTTAATGATGATTCAAACGAAATAAAAAGTTCATAATCAAATAAACAAATAATTACTATTAGAACTTCTTTGGTGATCTGAAAATTGAATGAAAAGTTAAATTATATTATGAAAAAATACAATGTAAATTACAAATTATTTACCTTCTGAAGTAATAGATTTGCTTCTTAAACTTCTTGTGGAAGCTGCAGATTTTATCATATCACTTAAATATCTACTCTTATATATGGCACCTGGGTTATTGGTTGTTACAGGTCCAATATCTGATGATTTAATAATTTCAATTTGATTCACATTTCCATTATAAATTATATCATGAATTACTTTTTTTACTTCAGCTGCGGTTGGTCTTATTTCCGGATCAGGATGCCAGCACTTTTTCATTAAATTAATAAAACCCCTAGGCGCATTTGTAATAATTGGTGGACGTAAACCATCACATATTTCAATTATAAGTTCTGTATTATGATTTCTATCCCAAAAAGGTTTTCTTCCTACCATTACTTCCCACATAATCATTCCAAAACTATATATATCCTGTCTCTTATACACATCTAGATGTGTATAAGAGACAGNTGCTGATTTACTTGTTCCTAAATCACATATTTTAATTCCATTAATCGCTGTTAGAAGTATGTTTCCACTATGTAAATCTCGATGTACAATATTTTCATCATGAATGTTGACAAGTCCATTTATAATGTCTTCCAAATAATCTATCTTCCAATTCCAACTATTAATATAAAAACATTTAGTCATTTTATACGTCAAATCACATTTATAATATGGCATAATAAATATAAGATCTTGAGTAGTAGGATCTTGAGTAATACCATAATATATATTAACGTATTTATCATATGATTTTTTCCTATTTGAAGAATAATGAAAAAATATTTTGAGCTGAAATAAAATTTTATTGGATTAGATTTTTTGTCTCAAATTTTAAAATCTATTAATGAATTCAACATAAAATATTTACCTCATTTAGCTCTTTAGAAGTAATATTTTTAGAATTTTTAAGCTTTTTAAGAGCAACTATTTCAGACTCATCCTGTTGGGAATAATCTAGAACATCCCCCCACGAAATTTTAGAATCAATCCAAGTAGCTTTATAAATTCTACTAAAACCTCCTTCACCAATAAGTTCTATATTTTTGAAATTATCATAAGGAACAAACATCATTCTCCCATATTTAGTACTATTATCTAATGTATAATTAATAAAATCGTCAATAACTTTGTTTCCACTAGGTATAAATAATTCTTTTACTCTGTGACAAGCGTCACACGCATCGTTGGAATCAATTCTTGTTTTACACACAATACAAGGTGAAAAACTAGAAAGTTCGTCAGTCATGATTTCATTAATATTGTCGGAAGATTTTTTCAGTAAAAAATTTAAAGAGTCGTAAAGATCCTTACAAATCTTTTTTTTTCTTATTAAATCAACAGTTTTTAATTTATTGAATGTGAAATTTTTCAGAATTCTGTATTCTTATATGCAAATTCCGATATATATTTTGATAAGCGATTGTATATACAAATATGTACTTATGAAATATAGAGTTTTGAAAATTCTTTTCTCGATAGAATTTCTTAATTAGTAATGAAAAACCCAATTATTCATTATTTGTTTGGTGATACAGAATAGAATTAAGTTCTGGAAGGGAAAGAAATTCTTTTTTTTAATGATTTACTTATGAATGTCATAAGGCGTATCGGAGTATCAAAAGCGCAATTGAATTAGTTAAAATTCCGCATCACGGGATATACGTAAAATAACGTGACGTCTATGTGGTTAACGAATTTCACGATAAAGCGAATTTTTAATCGACCGTGAGTTTCTGAATTACGCTCGTGCTTCTTCGACAAAACTTTCTCACCAAGGTGGCATCGCCTCAGTTCCGAAAGGGCTGGTCGCGATTTGGTTTTCAGTTGTTGGAATTGCTTTCGGTCTTAGCGTATAGGATCTTTGTAATTTTTACTGTAACTTTGTTTATCTTGAGAAATAAAAATAAAAAACGATAAAGCGATTTTTTTAAAATTTCATCTTTATATATGAACATATAAAAATCGGTATATCAAACTTATAAATTTTGATATGACGATTTTTTTTCATTGAACCCAAATTCGCTCTGACTGTACAGTAATATTCTTTGAAACCCCCCCCCCTTTACTTTAATTCAATTTCAGTAAATTCTTTTATTTATTAAGAATTTAAATCGAAAATTACATAAATACAAAAAAAATTCGATTTAAAAAATTATTAAATTAACATGATTATACATTATCAAAAACGTTATCGAAAACAAAATTGATAAAATAAGTACTTTACATACATACAATACAAATAATACATTTCATACATAAATTACATACATACATACATATAAATATATATACTATATATATATTATATATACTAATAATACAATTAAATAAATAAATAAATAATCAAAATCCTTCGTTAACGCTAATAATAAATTAAGTATTTCGAACAATTTTTTTTAAAGATTTTCTTTTTTCAACATTTTTCTTTGCACAAATCCTAAATACCATATCATAACCATTATAATGATTTAATTCTTCAAAAGCTTCATCAACTTTTAAATTATATTCTTCTTCAGAATATAAAGTAGAAACTGAATGATATAAATTTTTTGTAGCCCATTTTAAAATTTCCAAATAAAGAGTTCCTAATCTACCTCCCCATTCTCCAATAGGGCATTGTTTATCCTCGAAATGAATATCAGATAATTGATTATTATCTTCTAAACATTTTCTAATAATTGAACTTGGCATCATATTTATATCATAATTTTTCATTAATTCGTCGAGAACTAAATACAAAAAAAAAAGAATAAGTAAATATGTATGTCTGAATGCGTAATACCGTATGACGCTACAATCGCTACATATAGTACCCCGGGTACCCCTGTGGGGGTGGGAAAGGGGTACTTTACAGGGAGTAACTTGGGGAGTACTACAAGGGGGAGTACTATATGCGACGCCGTACGCACTAGTATATACGCGCTGAACGGTATATACGGTATAGAAATAATTGAAATAAATCTTACCTTCTTCTCTAAGTTGATTTGCTAAAGGACCACCATCAATTAATATAATATCAGAATCAAGTATTAATATCCACCTACTAGATACTCTTATTATTTCTTGTAAACATTTATTATAATCTTTTTGACTTAAACAACCCTTCATATTCCTCATAAAAACTAGATCAAATGTATTATCATCATAAGGAAGACCTTCCAAGATATTTCCTAAAGCAAAATCAACATTTGATTGTTTTAATTCAAGCGGAAAATTATCCACAATATCAAAACCTGTGAAATGACAATTCGGATATTTTCTGGCCATATCCAAACTTTTTTTTTTAATGAAAAATAATTTAATTAATATGTGTTAAAGTTTTTTTTTAAAAAAAAATGTTTTTTTACGATATTTTGTTGATATTTTACCTCCAAATTCCGGTTCCACAACTAAAAAAAATGAGAAAAACTTTTTTTTTTAATACCCATAATTATCCATGATAAGGGTAAAAATAAAAATAACTTACCCAATATCTAAAACTTTAGCATTTCTACTAAAAACTTCATCAACAGGTAAAAAAAAAGATTGACCTTCCCATAATTCTTTATTCCAAATATGGGTCAATTCTAATCTTTTTAATTCATCATTATCAGTTGGAAAAATGTCTTTAACATGATCTCTGTTAAAATATTTTCTACTACCAAAAGTTTTAATTAATTCGGTACAACGATCAAAACTATTAGTTGAATGAGAACTTATAGTACTTTCAGAAGAAATTCTTCTTTTTGAAGAAGGAATATTATTACTAAATCTATCATAACTATCATTAATAAGAAAATTATTATTATGAAATCTTTTACTTAAACGTCTCTTTGACGTTGAATTTGTAGCACCCATAATAAATATTGTTGGAATTTTTTTAAATATGAAAAATCAATCTTATTAATGAAAGAAATTTATCGTCAAAAAAAAAAAAAAAAAAAAAAAATTTTTTTTAAGAAAGAAAGGGTTTTGAAAGTCGAGAAAAAGTTTAAAATTTTTTTGATCCAAACTTAAACCAAAACCCTTTTAAATGGACCTTAGTATATATGTCATTGAGTCATTTGGAGAACTCCTTAATCAGCAGACTTGCATATGATAAAAGAAAGGTTGCTCATGTGAAACCATGAAATGCTATGTGAGAATCACCTAATATGGAGATAATTAACTAAAGCCGACATCTTCCGTGATTAAATAAATGAAAAATAAAAGATGTTTCTGGAATATCATATAATATATCATATTATCTAAAAGAGATCATCTTTAAATTGCTTATCAGGACTAGTTATGTTAATTTTAATGATAAGTGATATTTTAATATACATTTTATTCATTTTATTTTAAACTCTAAAAAACATGTGCCTTTTCGTATCATTGCGAAAGGATTTACAATAAAATTATATAAAATTAATTAAAAAAAAGTTCTATACATATATATATAATATAATATTTAATTTCTCATTTGTCAAAACAATTCAAACTAACTAAAATTAAATTTAAACTTTTACTTTTTTTTTACTTTAAAAGACTTTTAACATGGTATAATAGGTTTAAATTCGGAAGTGGTTTGTGATGGTTTTTCCTAAATCTGACTGGAATTATACTTTATTAAGAAAATTATGATATAATAATGATATTTTATATGGTAGGAACGCCAAGCCCATTTAATAAATTTCCAAAAAAAGTAAATCATTCAAAAGGGTTCGTTTTTCCATCTTGGTGATAAGCTTCACTATTACGTCGTCTTTCTTTTCCAATACCAAAAAAGTGTTTAAGGGATAATTTTATTTCAACAAATTTAGAAATTGTTTCTTCTATATAAGTGATTTTTTCATCATTTTTTGTGAAAAGAATATTTTCAGTATCAGAAATTTCAACTCCTGAATCACGTAATGAAAAAGTTGAAATTTTTTTACGTATTTTTGATAAACGTTTAGATGAAACTTTTGTTGTTCCCATATTTTTTTTTTCTGAATATTCTTTAGAATGATATTGATTTATATATTTTTGAGACATTTGAGACATTTTTAAAAAATTTGGAATAATTTTAATTTTTTTTGGAAAATTTTGAAAAATTTTGAAAAATTTTGGAATTTTGGAATTTTGGGAATTTGGGAACTTGTTGGAAATAAATAATTTTTTTAAATTTTTTTTTTTTTAAAAAAAAAAAAGAAGAAAATTTGGGAGATTTCTCGCTTGCATTTATAAATTTTTTTTAATCTTAATAATAATCTCAATTTGTAAATTATTTACCAAATAAATTTTATTTACCAATTGAAATATTCAATATTTAAACAACAAAAAGTAAATGCAGTGACTATTTAATTTTGAATTACTATATATTAATTATATATTGTTTTGCATTTAATTCAAAATTAGCAATAGAATAGGGAAAATAAAGACCGTTAAATTTCCGTCCGTTTATTACTAAAAAAAAATATTTTTTTCGGAAGAAGTACTCCGGAATTCTATAATACTTATGAAATAATGAAAAAAATATGCATTGTATGTAAATTTGTGAAACAATGAAATTCTTTCAAAGTTCAACCCTTGCAGAATTTCACAATCCTTAAAAATAACATCACATAAACTCCCACAAGAATAATCTCAATTAAGACTTTAACAGGTTTTTTTTTTTTTTACTAAGATTTAAGAAAATAGGAAATAAGGTTTTATTAATAAATTAAATTCCCATCAGGTAACATTACTCGCAGATCAACTAACATAGGGTAAAGTTTAATCAGTTTATGCGTATGCAATATGGCTAAACATAATTAACGTAATGAACAAATTGTATCGTCGTATCGTCGTATCGTTATCGAGTTATCAACCATTTCATCTCTTTCCCGTTGGAAGATCACATCATCGGTTTTATCAATTTTGCCACATCCTTTAAATGTTTCGGGAGAATTGTTATTAACTAATTCTGAATATAGGTTCTCCCGACGGAAAATTTGTTTTTAGTCGATAAATTTTCAGATCTTTTTTTTTTTTTTTTTTTTATTTTTTTCGATTTTATTTATTTATTTTATTTTATTTTATTTATTTTATTTATTTATTTTATTATTAATTATTTTATTATTATTTTTTTATATTTATAAAGATAAACTTTAAAAATAACCATATTTAGATGATTTAGAATAGTAGGTATTATTATATAGTTTAATTGTTTGAAACTCCATCGAAATTTCTTTTATCCATTTTTATCCAAAGAAAGAGAGAATAATAATACAAAAATAGATCAATAAAAAAAAAATAGCATACGAGTAAGTATTAACAATGAGCAAAATGCATTATTCGCCAAATGAATTGGTTCAATATAACTACGAGTATAGTGACACGACATTCATTTTTTTTCATTTTTTTTAACCGTGTGAAATTCATTAACTATTTTAAGAGTGACATGTTTCAAAAATATTTTTTTATGTTCTTAAAAGAGATGACAATATATATTAAATTCGATTTTTTTTTTCATTTTAATAATAAATGTCACAACTTTTTATGCAGGAATATTCTTTTTAAATAAATGATTTTTTTTTTTGTGGTCATTATATTTGTGGTCATTATAATAATCAAATGAATCTATATTTATTATTTAAATGACAATTTCGACATTGACATTTTCGAAAAAATAAAACGCCGAAAAAAAAAATTCTAATCTTATTAAATGAATTTTTTTGATAAGATTTAAAATAGAATATTGTCGGGTATTCGGGTATGCCTCATTTAACATTATCTGTATGTTCCATTTTAACCCGTTTAATCTTTATAATAAAAACTTTTTTTTCATTTTAACCTTGAAAACTAACCATTTTTATTATTTTTTTTTTGAAAAAAAAATGTGAATATGTAGAATATGTATTATTACAAATGGATTTGCGTCGTCGTTCTTTATAGATCAAAAATCATTGGTGAACCTTGAATTGGATTAATTTAAGTAGTTCAGTCCACCTGACAACTGACAAGTATGTCAAGTATGTCGGAAACATGTTTATATGTTTATTCCTTTCATCTTCTGTCCGTCATCTTTGCCATGCCAAAGCGTTTCGTCAAAATCGTCATAACGAATATATTTAAAGAAAAGTTCAAAAAATATTGGTACTGTATAATAAAAAATTAAGGATTCAAAAATACATTACTTATATACTTATATACATAGTAATGCGGTATTTACGTACACCTTGATTTTTTTAGAGTTGACGACAATAAACGTTAATAGTAAGAAATTATTTTAATATTTTATATATTTTTTAAATAAAAAAATAAAACTGGAACTTAACTTATTTTAGTACTTTATAATTTATTTTCATAGACTTTTACTCGATACTCTCATACTCATGCTCGATCATTTCGATACTCATACTCGATCATTTCGATACTCATACTCGATCAAAAGTCTCAATTGATCACATGTAATCGATCATATGCTTAATGCCATACAAACAAATAACGCAAATAACGCATCAATCAATTAATAATTCATCAGTTCATCAGTTTAATTAATAATTCATGGCATTATTAATTATTAATTATTAATTTATTAGTTGTTATTTAGAAATTCTCAACGTTAATTTTTTTTTCTACTTTTCGAATCTTTGTCTCAAACTCAAAGATCTATTCCTACAAAATAATAGGTGATATTACTTAAAGATGTCTCTCTCCTTCAAAACTTTTCTTAAAATAATCGTAAAAAGAAACTTGAGAAAAAAAAAAAAAAAGTTATTTGCAATTAATTAAAATTATTGTCGGGAAGATCACTTGAACATAAACCAATCAAAAATTTATTTAATAATTTTAATAATTACATGCTTGTATTACCTATTACCTATTTATCGAGAAGAAGTTTTATTAGTTACATAAAATTGTATATCTAGTAATGATTGTCTATCTAAGGAACTTTCTATCGGATTTCATATGATAGAATTACAAATGAAAAAACTCCGAGCTTTTTCTTAAAAGATTTAAGTCCATCATGGAAAAATCAACTAATATTAAACATAAAATTGATTTTTTATTATCAAATGACGCTCTTTCAAGTAATCAAACACAAAAAACAATTAAAATAAAAAAGAAATATGACGTACTTTCTTCAAGTCACCAAATACAAAAAACTTTTAAAATAAAAAAGAAATGTAGTGAATGTAATAAAATAAGAACTCCTTCAGATGAAAATAATCAAATTTGTTATACTTGTAACAAAGCAAAAAAAAGAATTATACCAAGTGGAAATAAAGTTATTGATGATTTTATTAAATATACTCAAACTAATTGCGCTCAACGTATTGGAAGAATGATGTTTGTTCCTTATGAAAAATTTAGAAATATAAAACTTATTGGTGAAGGAGGTTTTAGTAAAATTTATAAAGCTACTTGGATTGATTCTAAAATTTCTGAAGAGGGTATTCTAAATTATTATTTACAAAATGAATCTAAAACAGTTGCTCTTAAAAAGATTAACAACTCAAAAAATATTACTTCTAAGGAGTTAACTGAGGTAAATTTTTTATAATATATTAATTTTATTTTAAAATGCGTGACAAATAATTTAAACAATAATTTTTTTTTTTTATTTCAGCTCAAATTGTTTTATCTTTATTCTTTAAATGTGACAAAACCTAATATTTACGGTTTTCATAATTATATTAATGTATATTATGGTCTTACTCAAGATCCTTTAACTCAAGATCTTATATTTATTATGCCATATTATAATTCAGACTTGTCACATTATATAATTAAAGATTTTTTTAATATTAATTGGTATCATAAGTTAAATAGATTAAAAGAGATTATAAATAGTCTTAATGAAATTCATGAAGTAGATATTATTCATCGAGATTTACATAGTGGAAATATACTTATAGATGAGAATATTTTGACTAAAAAGAATCTAGCAAAATTATGTGATATAGGAATAAGTAAATCAGCAACAGAACATGATCTTAGTAATGATAATGAAGAAAACAACATTTATGGTATAATTCCTTATGTTGCACCAGAAGTTTTACGAGGAAAAAATTATACCAAAGCTTCAGATGTATATAGTTTTGGAATGATTATGTGGGAGTTAATGGTAGGAAGAAGACCTTTTTGGGATAGAAATCATAATACAGAATTAATAATTGAAATAAGTGATGGTTTACGTCCACCGATTATTACAAATGCACCTAAAGGTTATATTGATTTAATGAAAGAATGTTGGCATTCTGATCCTAAAAAAAGACCAAAAACAGTTGAAATATTAAAAAAAATTGATGAAGTACTTGTTAATGAACAGGAAAATAAGACTGAAATTATAGAATCATCAGATATTGGTCCCGTAACAACAAATAATCCTGATGCCATATATAAGAGTAGATATTTAAGTGGTATGATAAAATCTGCTGCTTCTAAAAGAAGTTTAAAAAGTCAATCTATTACTTCAAAACTTGGTAAATATTTGTAATATTAATTACAGTATATTTTTATTGATTATTATAACAATTATATTAATTTTACCTTTCGTTCAATTATTTAGATCAATTTGATCCTAACAGTAATTATTAGTTTTACTTGATATAACATTTTTATTCGTTTTAATTATGTTGTTATTGTTATTATTAACGAATTATATTTTCTTTTTTTTTGAAGATAAAAGAAATTTTGACGACAATCAATTAAGTAGCTTTGATAATTGCATGGTAAAATAATTACAAATTACATTTTGATAAAGAAACCACTATTTTATATTAAAAGATATTTTTTTTTTTTTAGGAAAAAGTATTAAAAAGAATAAAACTAAATGAAGACGAAAATAATGGTAAATTATAATTGTTTTTTTTTTTTTAATGCATACATCATAAATTGATACCATTATACATTTTGTTTTTTTTTTATTTAGATTTATACGTTACGAAAAGAAATTGAATATAAATTTTTAATGATGATGATGGTTACCATATTTTATTATTTTTATTTAGATTACGTTACGAAAGAATTTGAATATAAATTTTAATGATGATGGTACGTAAATACGTAAATATAATATAAGGGGGCTGATTCTAAAAAAAATCAAAGGTAAGAGAATTTTTTTGGCTAAAATTTAAAAAAGTTATTGTATTTTATTTAATTTAGTCATATCAAAAGTATAACTATGTAATAAAAATATCAATTTTGAAAAAAAAAAAAATCTCAAACCTTGATCTTCCTAGATCAGGCACTTTTTAATTATAAAATATTTTGTCTACAATCTAATTTTTTTAGAATATATTACTAGCGAAATTCATTTTGATATTAATACTTTTTTGATGGTCGTATTTTAATTTTTTTTTTTTTACTGGTTATATGATTATAGAAGTTAATTATTTATTGGTATACAGTATATGTGAGAAATTGGCATCGTAAAATGTGTCAATAAAAAGAACAAATTATTGCAAAGAAGCGCCCTAGCAAAATAAGCGACCGAAGCAAACGGTAATTCCTTTTACAATACAGTTTATATACATACCTAACTGAGTTGAGTAAAGCGTGATTTAGCAAAAACTACGAACTACAAAAACTTTATATTTTTTTGTAGAGTACACATCTCGAATTTTTGAATACTCTAATAAACAATGAAGCTATTACCTATTGAACTACTTCGATCTGTGTTCATAAGATGTTTTGATTTTATACCAATTAATGAATCAGATGGCTAATGACACGATCTAGTGGAATGTGCGTTCGTAAAGTGTCGAATGCGCTCTTTGTATTTTTCATTTGCCCAGAATGTCTCTTTTTACACCACGATACGTTAACAAAAACACGAATAAAGAATTCAATTCATAAAATATAAGTAAAAATATGTTTTTATTGAATATGAATTTATTAAATCACAATGATATGTTAGTTTAAAATGTAGATGAGAATAACTATTATTAAAAGTAAATTATTGAAGAATCACAATACAATAAAGTATTAACATAATAAAAAAAAAAAAATTACATAAAAAAGAATCTAAGAATTGAATTTACACATAAGATCATTCTACTTAAATTTGTGAACAATTGGGCAAAATGATTATTATCGTGATTAGGAAAAAAGTACTAGATACAAATAATAATTTTAAACCCAGGAATGTCTCAGTAGATTGAGAAGGGTTAATATTATAGTCAATGTAGACAAAGTCGTACTTATTATTTCATTACTACTATAAAGAGTATAGGGGATTATTATTATAAATATCTAGAAAAAGATCATCGAGCTCGATGTTTTAATTTCGCAAGACGGATTTTTCATAACTTTCAAGAATTTTTGATAATCCGTTAATTTTATTTCATTATTTATTTTTTTTTCAAGATAAAGAGTATATGCATTATTATTATAAATATCTAGTAAAAGATTATCGAGCTCGATGTTTAATTTGCGAAATTTGCGAAGGAATTTTTGATGATTTGTTACTTTCATTATTTTTTCTTACAAAAAAAAAATTGAAAAACGAATAAGTAGGGATTGATGAACCAACACTCAAATTACTTTTAAAATGAAAATTACCCAATCAAAGGGGGAAATCTTAACACACTACCCTGTGATGCCTGTGATGATTTTGTCACATTATCACGTGATGGCATGTCTGAAATGTGTGCCAGGTTGATGGCGCAGTGTGGCGCAGCGATTTTTTCCAAAAAAATTAAATTGCAATTTTTTTTTATTTAAAATAAAACCTTCAAATTCCTGCATTAGGTGTATTTTTGTCCGCTCTGCAAATTTACTTAGAGCATATACGGGTGGTTTAGAAGGCCATTTTCGAGTTATTTAACAAAAACTGTTCTTTCGACAAATCCAATTTTGGAAATGATCGGCAAAGACGATAAAATCGGTTGTTATATACTAAAGTCAAAATCTACTTCCAAAACCTCCTTCCATTTATAAGTGAATTTTGTAAAACAGATGAAAATACATCTAATGTGTAAATTTGAAAGTTTTAAATTAAAAGAAATCTTTAACTTAAATCTTTTTGAAATTACTGCGCCACACTGCGCCGTCAACCTGGCACACATTTCAGACGTGCCACGTGATGCCCTGTTTACGTTTTTTACGTTTTTTATTATGTTTCTGAGGACTTTTTTTGCCTGATCTCTATTTGTCACCGCATTATATGTCACCTACGTGACAGGGTAGTGTGGTAATATTCCCCAATTGTTGGTGTTGCAAAAATTACCTTCTTGACCCCTCCCCGTGTTATTTTTTTGACCCGCACATACTGTATTACATATAGGAGGGTCAAAAAAGGATGTCGTACAGCGATACAGGATCAAAGATCTTTGTATCATAAATGGTCACATGACCTACGCGCTATCATACGTTCTGTACAAATTTTAATTAAAAAAAAACGATAATTTATTAATAATTCGCTAGTAGATTGAATTTGGGTACACTACATAATTATGATTAAGTAAACTCTTTACAAATTGATAATATAATTATAATACAATAATTAATTTTTTCATTACCATACAATAGAATATAGTAGTATTTGATAAAATTAGCATAATTATATAGTATCTACTAATAAACTATACTCTACGCTTCCTATAGGCTCAATTGTGAATGATTATACTCGAATCAAAGATGTAGTACTTTTTCTTTTAGTATCAAAATCAATGTACTATCGCGTAACAGCAGTAAAAAACATTAAACATATTTAAATGCAATTAATAAAACGGTTATCGTAGGTCGTTATCTAATCATTAAATTTCTTTATCAGCAGAAATTAAAAAGCTATTAATTATTAATAAACAAATTTAAAGTAACTATACGAATGTTTAAAATTTTCTTTTTTAAATTTAAAGTCATCATGAAAGAATAACAAATATTAAATATAAAATTGACTTTTTATTATTTATATAATTTTCAGGTGTATCAGGAATAGATAACGGAAAATTTTCAATATCGTTAACGATCAATAGCATCAAATGACGCACTCCAACATACACAACGACTAATCATACGCATTTTTTATAACTTGTTATAAAGCAAAAAAGAAAAAGAAGAGAGAGAATAATAACAAGCGAAAATATAATTTTATTAATCAAGCATAAATACTCAAACTAATTATCCCAAAAAATGGTGTTTGTTCCTTATGAAAAATTCGAACTTTAAGAAGCAAATTTATTACTCCAGAACTTTGGTAAGTAATTTGTAATTTGATCATAATTTTTTCATAATATAGTATTGATGATTTTTTAATTCAATTATTAGACCTTCACCAAAGAAGTCCTAATAGCTTTATTAACTAATTAAATATACTATGAAAGTTTGAGCTTTATTTAGTAAATTATCCGTGACATAGCTCAAAAAATCAGAGCACAAATTTTAATTGGTGAAAAATCATGAATACCGTGACTTCAAATAAACAAACTTTTTCTGGTTTTTCCATCATTCTTTTTAATCCCTTTTTTGTCTTTTCTACACCTGTTTCCAACATTTAAAAAAATACACAATAAAAACTGAAGACTAAGCTGATTGAAGACGAAAAATAATGGTAAAACAATAATTAATTTCTTTTTATTTACTAGATTACGCTACGAAAGAACTTGAACTTGATATCAATATAAATTCTAAACAATCTAACGATGGTGGAAAGCAATTATACTAGTCCGTTACTAATATAAAAAAAATTATGTAAAAATCATTATGCAATATATATTTTGCATTAAAATAAAATTTTTTAGAAACATAATCAATTTTAGCGTGAGAGATCATAGAATGATCTTGTTAGTCTTTCTTAAAAAATAATGTGAACAGAGGGACCTTTAAATACAAAAAATTATACTTATATTTCTACGCACACACTGACAATTCGATTAAGCCAGTTTAGTAAACGTATCAGTTAATATCAGTCCAAAAATAACAATTAAACTATCTATTTGCTTATTAATCATTAAGTAAATTATTTAGTTATATTACCAAGAGTGCGGGGCTCAGGGGATAACGTATGGTCAATATGTTCTGCATAATAACACAGTTATTGGGAATTTCATCTAAACTGCTTCGTACATTTCAACCCCGGATGCGGATGACGTAAGCAAATCAACACGTAAAGAATTTCTTTTCCATCTTTTCCATTCTATTCTGTTTCACAAAACAAATAATTAGAAATATTTATGAGAAATCTATTAATTCTATTAAGAAAGAATTTTTAAATTTTACTGCACCCAATATTCCACAAGTACATATTTGTATATACAATCGCTTATCAAATATATCGGAATTTGTATATAATTCGGCTGAACACTTATAAATTAAAAGTTATTAATTTAATAAGAAAAAAGATGGATCTTTACGACACTTTAGATTTTTACCTAAAAAAATCTATTCGCATTCGCAATGTTAATAAAATTCTGATTGGAGAACCTTTAGGTTTCTTAGATTTTTACCTAAAAAAATCTATTCACATTCGCAATGTTAATAATATTCTGACTGACGAACCTTTAGGTTTGTCGTTCTGTATTGTGTGTAAAGTACTTGATTTCAACTGTCAGTGTGACGTTTATTATTACAGAGCAAAAGGATTATTTATACAGAGTGGAAACAAAGTTATTGACGATTTTATTAGCTATACATTAACTAATAATACTAAAGAATATGGGAAAATGATGTTCATTCCTTATGATAAATTCAAAAATATAGAACTTATTGGTGAAGGAGGTTTTAGTAAAATTTATAAGGCTACTTGGATTGATTGTAAACTTTATTGTTGGATTCTAAATAATTCCCTGCTAAATAATTCTGAAACAATTGCTCTTAAAAAGCTTAACAATTCTAAAAATATTACTTCTAAAGAGCTAAATGAGGTAAATATTCCTTATTGATTTATTAATAAAGTTTAAAATGTGAGACGAATAATAATTTTTATTAATTTCAGCTTAAGATATTTTACCATTATTCTTCGAATCGGAAAAGTGAATCTTTTTATAATTCGGTAAATGATTCTGTTAATGCATATTACGGTATTACTCAAGATCCTGTAACCCAAGATCTTATATTTATTATGCCATATTATAATTCGGATTTGACACATTATATAACTGAAAATTTTTACAGTATTGAATGGCGCCATAAAATGATTTATTTGCAAAACGTCATAGATGGACTTGCTAAAGTTCATGATACAAATATTATACATAGAGATTTACATAGTGGAAATATACTTCTAAATGGTCGATATGATGCAGCAAACATATGTGATTTAGGAGCAAGTAAATCAGCAACGGAAAATAACGATAATGATAATGAAGATAAAAACGTTTATGGCATAATTCCTTATGTTGCACCAGAGGTTTTACAAGGAAAAAAATATACCAAAGCTTCAGATATATATAGTTTTGGAATGATTATGTGGGAGTTAATGGTAGGAAGAAGACCTTTTTGGGATAGAAATCATAATACAGAACTCATAATTGAAATATGTGATGGTTTACGTCCACCAATTGTTACAAATGCACCTGAAGGTTATATTGATTTAATGAAAGAATGTTGGCATTCTGATCCAAAAAAAAGACCAAAAGCAGTTGAATTATCGAATAAATTTGCGCAAATGCATCGTAATGTATGGATGATTAAAATTATAAAATCATCAGATATTGGACCTGTAACAACAAATAATCCTAACGCCGTATATAAGAGTAGATATTTAAGTGATATGATAAAATCTGCATCTTCTACAAGAAGTTTAAGAAGCAAATCTATTACTTCAGAAGGTATTTAATTTGTAATTTTAAATGTATTTTTTCACAATGTAATTAAATTATTTTAATTATTCTGGCCAATTTAATTTATACCAAAGAAATTCTACTGTAATAGTGATTGTTTGTTTTATTTAATATAAACTTTTTATTTCGTTTGAATTATTATTATTAAATTATATAATTTTTTTAAGATAAAAGAAAATTTGAAGATAATCAATCTGAAAATAACTTTGAAAATGGTACGGTAAAGAAAATTTTATCATTATGAAGAAATCAAATATTATTTATCTAAAAATTCTTTTTTTAGGTAAAAGTATTAAAAAGATTAAACTAATTAAATATGAAAATAATGGTAAAGAATAGTAACTTCTATTATGCGTACTTTTTTTATAACTTATCTAATTAAAATTTACGGTATTTTTTATTTAGATTACGCTACAAGGGAACTTGAATTTGATATCGATTCCAAACAACCTAATGATGATAGTAATAGTAAGTAAATACCGTATTAATAAATAATAATTAATTTACAATCTAATATATTTTACTTCTTTAAAGAATATATTACTAAAGAAATCGGATTTGATATTTAATATGTTTTTTTGAATTACTATTATTATTATTACTTTGGTGTATTATTTGAATATTGACTATATGTAAGAAATTGGCAAAAATGATAGATAACAATAAAATAAACAATCAATATATACGAATTAAAAGATATAAATATGATGCCAAGTTCAATTATTAGAAGATAATAGTAATCAATTATCTGATATTCATTTCGAGGATAAAGAACGGGGAGGTAGATTAGGAACTCTTTATTTGGAAATTTTAAATGAGCTACAAAAAATTTATATCATTCAGTTTCTTCTTCATATCCTGAAGAATAGCGGATGAAGTTTTGAAGAATTAAATGACTTAAACGCCATATATGGGGTTTTATTCAAAAACCTATCCAAATTCCAAACATAGCCATTGTCAATAACAATATTTAATGAAGCTGCAATTGTTTACTATCATTATCATGTGCATAAGAATCCGAAAAGGTAATTCTTAGCAGTAAAATTATTTACTTTCGGATTGCATGGAATTTCGGAAAAATATGATTAATTTTATCGAGAAACGGTCATGTAATGTCTGTGTGACATAAAAACCAATATTACGCTCAGCCCTTTCAAAGAAGTAAACTTTTTCTTCTAACACTATTTTTTATCTGAGCCATATTATAACGTGTAAATGAAAATCACCAAAACTCGAAATACATCCGTTAAAACTGTTCAAACTCCTTTCTTTTGAAGGAAATAACTCTATGGATTTAACTAACAAGAATCAGTCACAAGGTATTGAGAGATCAACACTTTTTTTGTGTTATTAAATACTGAAGCCATTACAATTAATTTTTAGAGGATGATTTGTCCTACTACTCACCTGACGACGATTTTAGTGACTCTGAAGAATCTAAAGCGTTAATGATTAAACATCACATTCGTATTGTATCTGACCGACTCTGATTCAGTAAGTTTCTTGGAGACTACCAGACTAACTGTTTACATTTCATTTCAAAATTAAGTTTCTCTCAAGAGAATGTACGAAGAAATACATGAATTTCCTGACCCCAAATACATGTTCGACCTCAAGACAAAAGGGCTCACTACTCCTGAAAAGTTTGTTGCATGGTGGAATGAGAGCCATCCAGATTTTCAAATCACCATTGATTCTATTAGGGAATGGAATTATCGCAAAGATGAAGATCCTTCCCGCTATAATCTCAACTGGGGCAAGTATGGAGATTGAGATTAGAGTATTGTTGTGAACAGATCAGATACCAGAGTTTAATCAAGCTTGTCTTATACCATTTTTTATACCATTTTTATGAACCAACTTAAATCACAATTTTTTGTAATGAAGTACATATGAATATTGATTTCAACTTAATAAAGATACATATATATGAACATTAAATTTCAAATTAATAATGAGCAAACAACAACTGAAATTATGGTCTAAAATTTATTAATATATTGGTCTATAGTTACGATTGGAACGATCTTCATCAAGTAAAATATCTAATGGCCGACCATGTTGAGATCCCATTTGATGAGTAAAATAAGTTATGCCTTTTGCCTCTCTTCTAAGAAAATTTTGATATTCTTGTCTTTCAGCTGGTACACTCTCATCAAAATTTTCTATTTGAAAAGCAGTTGTTAAACAATGTAATATGAAAATATTCAAAGATAAAGAAACCTTCAAGTTGAATTATTTGCACATTGTTTGTAAGACCTATTCGTTTTCCAACTATACATAATCCTCCCCAGCACTTGAATATCGTCTCCCAGTTGTTTGATTTTTAATCATTCTCCACATTGAATTAGGTTTGACCCATTGTCATATTCACAGAGGAATTGGCCAGTTGTTACCGCTCTATCCTGTAAAGCTTGAGTATTGTAGCCAAGAGCCTCAACTCTTCCAAGCATTTGGCGGTAATCATATTCACTTATTATTATCTCGCAGGTTCCTATAATAATTTAAAGGATAAATCATTTCTTTTAGGAAATAAAATACAAAGTAACTTTGATACTGTACTTCCTCTAAAAGTTCGCGTCAACGAATTTTTCTGTATAAGAACCCAGCCATACCATACCCATACCCCAATGTGGTCAAAGTACCTCCAATTAATATTGAAGGCACCACAAATATCCAGTAAAAAGTACAACATATTGCCAAAAGAACTAAGGAAAAAACTAAGACGATAGGAAAAGATATAACCAGGGCAATACCAATCCAAACAATATTGGATACACCAAGATCACGAAAATCAAAACATAAAAAATCCACATATTTAAAAAAAATAAATGTTGATCGAACAAAAGACGACTGGTTCTTGAAAAAATAAGAATGTGGGCACATGATTAATATTTTCTGTCATAATCATTTTTTTTTTTTTGACTCATGTAATAATAACATAACGCGGTTAAAGTACTGTACATTTAAAAAGCGTGTATACATCCTAATATCCGCGTGTACAGAAAAATAGACATGTCAGTTCAACTATGAGTTCGTGAAAATATCCTGGTTGCTGATAAGTTCGTTTCTTGCATATGTGGAATGGAAAATTGGGGCAATTAATATTTAAGCTCAACTGATTGGTGTATAGTACGATTTTGTAAGTTAGTATGTTTGTGGAATTTTTACTTTGTATGTATGATTTTTATGGACATATACTTATCACTATATATATATAACTATATATATATATAATATATAAATAATGAAGTTCTTCCCACAATTGTTTCAGTTTACACAAAATCCATGTAATTGTTGCAAAAAAATCCATATAATTATTAGTGATTTTTTTAAGGAAAATAATAAAAAAATCAATCCAACTACTTTTGATTTTGAGGAATTCCACGTAATTAGTTAAATCTTAATGTACAGTGAGGGTGTACGATATTAACGTACGAACTGGCCGGAATTAACGTTAACGCTATCACGTGCAAGTGCATAACTCCTAAACTCGGGCCGGTTCGTACGTTAATATCGTACACCCTCACTGTACGTTAAGGACGCCCATATAATAATTTATCAATTCGAGATTTATTTTTTTTTTTAAAAAAAAAAAAATTTCTTTTATAAACTTTTATAAATATTTTATTATATAAGTATAAATAAATTTCATGTTAATTACATGAGATTATCGAAGTTTTAGAATTGGCTAATTTAGTAAAGAAAAAGAATTGGGATTATACAAGTGCTTCAGACGTATATAGTTTTGGAATGATTATGTGGGAGGTAGTGACAGGAAGAAGACCTTTTGTGATAGAAATCATAATACAGAACTTATAGTTGAAATATGTGATGGATTACGACCACCAATTATTAAAGATGCACCTGATGGTTATATTAACTTAATGAAAAAATGCTGGCATTCTGATCCAAAAAAGATGGTATATATTGGACCTATGTATAACAACAAATAATCCTGACGTCATATATAAGAGTAGATATTTGAATGGTATGATAAAATGTGCATCTACAAGAGGCTTAAGAAGCCAATCTATTTCTTCAGAGTTTGGGTAAATAGTTTACAATATTGATCTTCCTTAAATAATTTGATGTTTTAATTTCGTTCAATTATAAAGAAATTTTTATGGTTTTTAATTTTTAGGCAAAGATTAAACTCATTGAAGAAAAAATGATGGTAAATAGTTACTTTGTTTTTTAAAAACCTACATTTTTTATGATTTGATTGGAAATTTTCTTTATTTATTAGATTACTTTACAAAAGAACTTGAACTTGATATCGATAATTAATTATTATGATCTTATTATATTTTATATTTTTACTTTATATAGAATATATTACTAGAGAAATCAATACTTTTTAAAGGTGTTTTGTACGTCATATTATTAAAATTTTTTTCTCTTTTTTTCTTTATAGAGGTTATAATGATTGGCATATGTGAGAAGTTGATAAAATAAAAAATGTTGATAAGAATAATTTAATACAAAGCAGCTGTTTGCATCAAATCAATGTAATCAATCATGTAATAGTAAAGATTTTATAAAATAAGAAAGTACTAAATCAATTAAAAATTTGTGCTAAAATAATATTGTTCTAATATTGTATTTTTCGTGGGGGCTTATATTCTCCTTTCCAAATTAGTTACAGTATATGCTGTACCAGTGCTATACATCGAAAAATACAATGATATTTTAATCTATTGGGTATTGAGGACAATTTCGGTTATTGCACAGTAGATCAACCGTTTAATAATGAGAAATATTAATAATTGTCAAATGCTTTATGGCTGCAATTAAGAAATTCTATCGAGAAAAGAATTCTCAAACTCTATATTTCATAAGTACGTATTTGTATATACAATCGCTTATCAAAATATATATCAGAATTTGCATATAAGAATACAGAATTCGGTTGAAAACTTCACGCTCAATAAATTAAGCTATTAATTTAATAAGAAAAAAGATTTGTACGGATCTTTACGACTCTTTAAATTTTTTACTTAAAAAATCTGACGACAATATTAATGAAATGATGGCTAACAAATCTTTAAGTTCGCCGCTTTGTATTACGTGTAAAGCAAGAAAACTTAGGAGTAATTTGTGTTACGTTTGTAACAGAGCAAAAGAATTATTTATACCTAGTGGAAACAAAGTTATTGACGATTTTATTAGTTATACATTGACCAATAGTACTAAAAAATATGGGAATATGATATTTGTTCCATATGATAATTTCAAAAATATAGAATTTATTGGTGAAGGAGGGTTTAGTAAAATTTATAAAGCTACTTGGATTGATTGTAAAATTTCTAATGATACTCTAAATTATTCCCTACGAAATAAATTTGAAACAGTTGCTCTTAAAAAGCTTAACAATTCTAAAAATATTACTTCTAAAGAGCTAAATGAGGTAAATATTTCATGTTAAATTCATTAATAGTCTTAATAGACTTCAAATTTGATACAAAAAATTTAATCCAATAAATTTTTATTTCAGCTCAAGGTGTTTTATCATTATTCTTTAAATAGGAAAAATTCATATGATAGTTACGTTAATGTATATTATGGTATTACTCAAGATCCTACTACTCAAGATCTTATATTTATTATGCCATATTATGATTCAGATTTAACGTATTGTATAACTAAATATTTTTTTAAGATTAATTGGCATGGTAAGATGTCTTATTTGCAAAGCATTATAAGTGGACTTGTCAACATTCATGATGCAAATATTATACATCGAGATTTACATAGTGGAAATATACTTGTAGATAATATACATGTAAAAATATGTGATTTAGGAACAAGTAAATCAGCAACAGAAAATGACGATAATAACAACATTTATGGCATAATTCCTTATGTTGCACCAGAGGTTTTACAAGAAAAAAATTATACTAAAGCATCAGATATTTACAGTTTTGGAATGATCATGTGGGAGTTAATGACAGGAAGAAGACCTTTTTGGGATAGAAATCATAATATAGAATTAATAATTGAAATATGTGATGGTTTACGTCCACCAACTATTACAAATGCACCTAAGGATTTTATTAATTTAATGAAAAAGTGCTGGCATCCTGATCCAGAAATAAGACCAACAGCAGTTGAAGTATCAAAAGTAATTCATGATATACGTTATAATGGGAATGCGCTTCAAACTAAAATTATAAAATCATCAGATGTTGGACCTGCAACAATCCATAACCCAGGTGCCATATATAAGAGTAGATATTTAAGTAATATGATAAAATCTGCAGCTACTACAAGAAGTTTAAGAAGCCAATCTATTACCTCGAAAGGTAAATAATTAGTAATTTACATTGTATTTTTTCATAATATCATTTTAACTTTTCGTTCAATTTTCAGACCAATTAAATTTTTACCAAAGAAATTCTAATAGTAATTGTTTGTTTATTTGACTATAAACTTTTATTTCGTTTGAATCATCATTAACAAATTTTATAATTTTTTTTAAGACAAAAGAAAATTTGAAGATAATAATCAATCTGAAAATAACTTTGACGATGGTACGGTAAAGAAAATTTTTATCATGAATAAGAAGTCAATATTTACTCATTTAAAAATACTATATATATTTTTTAGGCGATAGTATTAAAAAGACCAAACTAACTGAAGATGAAAATAATGGTAAAGAATAGTAAAATTTTATCATGCATACATTTTAACTTAATTAAAATTTACGGTATTTTTTCACTTAGATTACGTTACAAAAGAAATTAAATTTGATATCGATACAAATTCTAAACAACCTAATGATGAGAGTAAGTAAATATTGTATATAATAAATAATAATAATTAATTTACAACCTTCTAATATTTTTACTTCTTTATAGAATATATTACTAGAGAAATTGGGTTTGATATTTAATTTACTTCGTGCTTATGTTTTTTTTATTAGTTATATTATTATTAGCAGTTATTTTTTTTCCTTTATATATTATTTGAATATTTGGCTATATCTGATATGTAAGAATTTGGCAAAATAATAGAAATAAACCAATCAATATATACGTGTAAATACTAAACCAATCAAAAACTTGCATTACGTGTTTGATTATTCTTTAAAATAATAATTTTCTCTTCTAGAATTTAATTCAACGCTGTATCACCAGACCCGACAAATAATGAAATACAATGAAATTTGGAGTTTTCAAATGCTTTATGACTGGATATCCAGTTATTATTCTTAAAAGAAAATTTGCTTAAAGATATTAATTTTAATAATGAAATAGTATTTATATGAGTGTCTATAAATAAGCTAAAATTCTATCTGCTATTCTTTTTTTTTTAAAAAAAACTTAAAATATAAAACTTAAAAATATAATCATGGAAAAATCAACAAACATTAAACGTAAAACCGACTTCTTATTATCAAACGACACACTTTTAAGTCAATCAACACGAAACAAAGTTGAATTAAAATACAAAAAAAAAGAAATGTAGTGAATGAAATAAAAAGAGAAGAACTTCAAACGAAAGTCATCAGATTTGTCATGTTTGTTACAAAGAAAAAAATGCTTACATCGAGTGGAAACAAAGTTATTGACGATTTTATTATACTCAAATTAATCATGCTAAAAATAATGGGAAAATGGTGGTTGTTCCTTATGAAAAATTCGAAAATGTAGAACTTTAAGAAGCCAATCTATTATTCCCAGACCCCTATTTTTCATTTAGCTTACGTTACAAGAGAACTTGAATTTGATATCGATATAAATTCTAATGATATATTACTAGAGAATTCAATTTTGATATTTAATACTTTTTATGCAAATAATTATTCTGCAACATGGGTTTTGTCATGAGTTATAAAATAAGTAATATAAATATGTCCCCAATACCTTAGTCAATGAAATTTTTTTTTTTTTCAATTTTTAACCTTTTTTTCGACTTGGATTATTGGATACCGGAAAGTAAAAAAAATTGGTTCAGTTTTTTCTATATTAACGGACATTAATAACTGTTCATTTTTCTTCTTTTTTTTTAGGCGTCTCTCTGGAGTCTGCCTTCTCTCTGTCTTCCCTCTCTTTTCTTTAGGTCTTCTTTGTTTTTCAATAAAATAGTCTTAAACCCGGTTGAATAATTCTTCGATATATCTTCACCTGATAGGTCTTCTCTTTTCTTTAGGTTTTCTTTTTATTAGGTCTTCTCTTCGGTTCCCTTTTTTATATCTTCTTTTAGGTACGTAGGTTGTGTATGGGTGGCATTTTCCCTCTTTCCTTTTCTATTCCTCGCTCTTTCCACTACTTTCTCTTTCCCTTATTCCATCGCCCCACTCCCCCTCCATTCCCTCTCCCTTTCCCTTCTCTCATTCTTCCCTTTTCCTTTTCCAATTTCCTCGCTCTTTCCTTTACCCTCTTTCGCTTTTCCCCCTGATCAATGTTGTTTAACAATTGTAATAACTAGCTAAAACTAGAATAATAAATGTTAAAACAATTTTAATATTTTGTTTCAATTAACATCGTTAGATATTATCGGACCTGTAACAACAAATAATCCTGACGCCGTATATAAAAGTATTTGAGTGGTTTGATAAAATCTGCAGCTTTTACAAGAAGTTTCAGAACTTGATTAATAGTTTGTCATATAAATTATATGTTTTTTTGATCATTATAATCATTTTAACTTGCGTTCAATTAATTAGATCAATTTGATTTTTGCTAAAAAATTCTTAATAGTATAACATTTTTATTTCATTTAAATTATTGTTATTAACGAATTAAATTTATTTTTAAAATAAAAGAAAGTTTGTCGATAATCAATTAAATAGCTTTGATAATGGTATTGGTAAAATAAATTTCATTATGATAAAGAAATCACTATTCATTAATATAAAAATATGACGAAAATGATGATAAATCACAATTCATGCATACCTTTTTTTTTATAAATTGATTTTTAATATACCGTATGCACTTTTTTATTTAGATTACGTTACGATAAATTCTAAACAACCTAACGATGATGATAAGTATATCTATAATATCTATAATATTAAATCTGCAACTACTGCTGTAGCTCTATAGAATATATTACTAGCGAAATTTATTTTGATGTTAATCCTTTTTGATTGTATTTTAAATATCGTAATCTGTACTGTACAGTATAATTATATAAGTTATAATTTTTCTTTATATATTACTATATTTGTATTGGTAACTACCGTTCAGTCAGCCCTCGACAATCGACATAACAGAACTTCGAAATAAAATTTCCGCGACTATTAGTTACACGTGACATTTAACCAATCAGATACGTAGATTATTCCTCGTTATAACGAATCAGCCAATTGACTGTGATGTCAATAAAGGTACAAAAAAAAAATAAAAAAAAAGTTTTTTTCTTCCAGAATTTCCGGAATGTAATTCTATGCCGTATCACATGAGAAATTTAGAGTTTTGGTTGCAATTTAGAAATCTGTCGAGGAAAAATTTCGATTAATTCCGGTTATTTACAACTATTTATCGATATCCAAACATTATTAACATCATTATTAAAAAGAATTTTTATCGGGTAATTGCAATTTGTATAGGATACCCTAAAAAATTTTTTCAATTTAAAGTTCATGAAAAAATCGACAAATATTAAAAGTAATAACGCACTTTCAAAGTCAACCAACAATTGAACTATAGCGCAACACATTGAAATTATTTTGCATGTCCTATATGTCCTATATACTGCATGTATTATTTCATCAGAAAATCATTAAAAAAAAAATTCGCTCATATTTGTATTATACTGTAAACTCTTATTGTGTGGTTCAACGGTAAAAATTCTTGTGTATCTATATATTGAAGAGTGTTCAAACTGTGAAGACTTGAAATCATCAGCAAACCTCAGTTCAAAAGAAACAGAATGACACAACATCGTTTGAAGATTTGGATTTTGATATTATACGATGGTGAATTGGATAGTTAAGCGAAATTTATTATGTTATTTACTTTATTTAACGTGTAACATTGCTTTAAATACCTCGTGTATGACACAAATTAACTAAATAATTGATTAAGATACAAGCCTAATTCTACTAAATTAAGATGTATATTATATTTGAGTCTTTTAGTCTTTTAACATGGAAGGGGAAGGTAGTTTCTATAAGGTATTTTTTTTACCGATATAATAATTAATTCGTAATAATTATATGTTATAATATTCCTCTAATTATTTTAATATTTGTTAGAGCTAAAATAAAAAAAATTTGCTCAATGAATTAATCGAATATTCGATGATAGATCCGGTTTTTTAGGCGTTTTATAATATAGCTTAACGTTAATAGAAAAGTTCTGAACATTAATTTTCAAAGTTTCATCTCTAGATTCGTGATGTCGGATTTCTACAAAATAAAGACAGCGTTAACATTAAGAACGATTTTCATCCTATCAAGATTCTAGATATTTATTAATTGTTAAACTTGAGGAAAAGATCACGTAATAAAATAATAGAAGTTTAACGAAAAATTTTGTTATCAAGAAAATCGGTTTTGTTATTTTGGTCATAAAAACAATCAAATTTAACACAAAAAAAGAAATTTCTTTTTCTTCCGGAATTTAATTCCATGTCGTACGTATCACTGACAACAGATAATAAGAGATTCGAATTTTATTGGTACATATGTGCATCTAATGATTGCTTAAGGAAATTTTCTATCGGAAATTGCATATAATAGGGTACAGAATTTGATTTGAAAAAAAAACTTTAGATTTAATAAATTGATAAGAGATAAAGGTATTTAAATGGATTTATGGATTTACAATGCTCAATAATTTTTTAAATGAATTGTCGTAATAATAATGGAAAAATCAACAGATATTAGACATAAAATAGATTTTTTATTATTAAATGATACACAACTAACACAAAATAAATATGAAAAAAAGAAATGTAATGAATGTAATAAAGCAAGAACACTTTCACGCATAAATCATCAAATTTGTCATATTTGTTACATAGCAAAAAGAAGAATTATACCAAGTGGAAATAAAGTTATTGATGATTTTATCAGATATACTCAAACTAATTATGTTAAAGATAACGGGAAAATGATATTTGTTCCTTATGAAAAATTCGAAAATATAGAATTTATTGGTGAAGGAGGTTTTAGTAAAATTTATAAAGCTACTTGGATTGATTGTAAAATTTCTGATAAGGGCACTCTAGATTATTTCCTACATAATGAGTCTAAAACAGTTGCTCTCAAAAAGCTTAAAAACTCTAAAAACATTACTTCAAAAGAGTTAAATGAGGTAAATATTCCATATAAATTTTATTAATAAACTTTAAATATACTTTAGGTTAAATCATAAACAAATAAATTTTTTATTTCAGCTTAAGATGTTTTATCATTATTCTTTAAATGGAAATAATTTAATTTACGATAGTTATTCGGGTCTTGTTAACGTATATTATGGTATTACTCAAGATCCTATTACCCAAGATTTTATATTTATTATGCCATATTATAATTCGGATTTGACACATTATATAACTAAAGACTTTTATAATATTAGTTGGTATGATAAGATACGTACGTTGCATGATATTATAAAAGGACTTAATAAAATTCATGACGTAAATATTATACATCGAGATTTACATAGTGGAAATATTCTTTTAAATGGTCATAGAGCAAAAATATGTGATTTAGGAACATGTAAATCGACAACTGAATTAACAGATAATGAAGAAGAGATTTATGGCATAATTCCTTATGTTGCGCCAGAGGTTTTACAAGGAAAAAAATATACCAAAGCTTCAGATATATATAGTTTTGGAATGATCATGTGGGAGTTAATGGTAGGAAGAAGACCTTTTTGGGATAGAAATCATAACACAGAACTTATAATTGAAATATGTGATGGTTTACGTCCACCAATTATTACAAATGCACCTAAAGGTTATATTGATTTGATGAAAGAATGTTGGCATTCTGATCCTAAAAAAAGACCAACAGCAGTTGAAATATTAAAAAAAACTGAGGAAGTACTTGTTAATGAACAGGAATATAAGACTGAAATTATAGAATCATCAGATATTGGACCCGTAACAAGAAATAATCCTGATGCCATATTTAAGAGTAGATATTTAAGTGGTATGATAAAATCTGCAGCTTCTACAAGAAGTTTAAAAAGCCAATCTATTACTTCAAAACTTGGTAAATATTTTGTGATATTAATTGTAATTTTTTATAATATAATTTAATAATTTAATTTTCGGTCATAATTATTATTTAGACCAATTTGACAACTACCGGAGAAACTTTAATGGTAATAATTTTTTAATATTTGATATAATTTATTTAATTATATAATTCTTAACGAATTTTATAATTTTTTTAAGTCAAAAGAAAGTTTAACGATAACCAACTTGACAATAGTTTTGACAACGGTAAGATAATAAAATTTTATAATATATTAAATTTTAGAAACCAATTATTTATTTAAAATCTAAGATATCTATTTAGACAAAAATATTAAAAAGATTAAAATAATCAAAGATGAAAGTATTGGTAAATTCTTTTTCGTCGTTTGTATACATTTTTTATAAATTGATTAAATTTTGACTATTCTTTTTTATTTAGATTACATTACAAAAGAACTTGAATTTGATATCGTTACAAATTCTAACCAATCTAACGATGATGGTAAGTAAAAATTATAAATTTATAATAAATAACAACTAATATCAGATATGTACTTATAATCTAACATATTATACTTTTTCAATTATGTAGAATATATTACTATCGAAATTGATTTTGATATTTAAAGGTGCAAGTATGGACTATGAAAGATTGTTTCTGTCATTCACATGATACTGCTATAAAACCAACAATCAACCAATCAGAACGCAAATTTTAGTTATATTTTTTGCTTTCGATTCCCACTTCCTGGTTATTATAAGAAATTACAATAATAAAAATAGATGTCGAAAATTACTAAATAATATTTGGTATGCCTTATTTATAACGTACGGGAAAACTTTTCACTATTTATTTTTGAAAGATTTTGAGTAATTTCATATTTTCTTACGACATTAGATAGTTTAAGTCATAAATTTATTTTCAAAACACAATTTTCATACATATAATCTTTTATCGTACACTAATAACATATACTGTATGCGTTTTCAATGAATATTACTTGCGATATAAACCAATTAAAATTCGCATTATGTGTTTGAACTCTGAAATGATTAAAAAAAATTTCTTCTCGTCCAGACGAACAGGCTTCATACCTCAAAATTACTCTCGACGCACGCTGTTCTAGGCTCAAAAGATGGACAGTTCCGCTTATAGGTCTTATTGAAAACACACTTTCTGATCTGGTACTATTAACACATCTAACAATACCCCCCAGGTCAGGTTTGGTATGTCTTTACTTTCAGAGCTTTTCAGCAGAGGCTGTTCTATACAATGCAGCGTACCTCTAGAACCCGTAGTAGGAAGTGTTACTAAGATTTCATAATCGGTTTCATATTGAGTTGGATCACCTGTCCACTCACGTTTGAAAAATATAACATCATTATTTATCATCTGATGAAAGTCACGTGCGTTCCGTTCGGAACACTACCAATCTGTGGTTAATGTCCGCTATTTTGTTTATTATTATACAAAAACAAGCCCTATGTGGGCGCTTTATTAATAGAATATTAATTTTCCGAAGGTTAAGCTCATCATAGAAGAATTCGGCGGAATACAATTTAAGGTTCATACAAATTGAATGTTAAAAAAATAACTATCTAACGTTGAACTTTCAACTTTAGTGGTGAATCCCAGTCATTATCTTCATCTAAATAATAATCAGCCACTTTCTTTAGTAACGCTTGATATTTTTATTTATATCTAGAATAAATGACTACAAAGAATAAAGATCAATAGTTAGCAGAGTACACTAATACTAATACTTAACAGATAATAGGAAAATAATTACCTGATGATAACATCTTTGCCGCTACTTTCGTCAGTTTAGGCAATGCTGTTATTTCTTCCGGTATAACGAATTCCATGATTGAAAAAACTATTGGCCACATATTTGCTGGCCAATTATCTCAGTATTTGCTCCTATAATATGACAGGTCAAGGCTTTAGCAAATATAGCAAATAATAGCAAATAATAATAGATAAAAATTTTAGTTCACCATTAAATTGAACATAAAGAACAGTCATCGGCGATATCTTTCCTAAAAGTTTGTTTCTGATTGGTAAAAGATTCATTCAACATCCAACCAAATTTGTACGACAGATCGGATGATGGATGAGGCGAATGATAATAATTATAAGTAATATTTTATATATAACAGATAATGATAAAAAATAATTATATATTTATATTGATATTATTTGTATAATTATGAGTGGACACCATTAGTATACACATGAGAATGATGGCCTGATGTAATTTTGACAAATCATCTTCAATATGGGCGTTGTTGCTGTTTCTATGTAAATGAATTAAAACTGTCGACTGAAGGAAAGAATTCCATCGTATTTTTTTCTTCGTGTTCTTCGGTCAAGACATTTTTGGGCACAACTTTGCACTTCACCTCTTATGATGACTAAACTATTGGGAAAGGGTATCTTTTAAATTAACCATTAAATCAATTTTACGTTTGAAAAAAGAAAGGAAAGATGTAAGAAATATTATTGTAGAATGAATAAATCCATAAAGAAAATTAAGAAAATGAAGAAAATCAAAAAAAAAAGAATTGATAATAATTTATATTTAAAATATGAAACAAGCGAATAAGGAAGATACCAATCATTATCTTTCGTGAATTATTCTTTGATTACTTACTACATTAAATTTTTTCAAGGTTTTTGCAAACATCTTCAGATATGTCTTTCTTAGGTTTATATCTCTGTATTTTTTCTTTGAAGTACATCATTATCGATTCACCTAGATCTTCTAAAATAACACCATCATTAACAATCGAGTTGTGTTTTCGTTTTCAGTCTCGTTTTTGATATTTTTTTGTATAAATTCTGAAGGATTCAATATTGTCGATTATGGCATTGAACTTCCACGGTGCCTAATCCAAGTCCATTTCATAAATATCGACTAAGGTCTGAGGACGTTTAAAAATATTCTGCTTAAGCGATAGTGGCGTTGCAGGGACATTACCAGGTAATGGTGTTGTGAGAGAAGTACCAGATAGTGGTATAATTGTTCCCTCTTCATAATTTCCCACGATCAAAAGTTGCACTCTAAGAAATAATTAAATTAACTTTTGAAAAAAATGTTTGAAAAAAAGGTAAAGCTGTACAATAACTGTTTATTGTCTTTAACCTCATTTAAACTAGATACAACAACTGGAGTTGTATCTTCATTTAATTTGTCTGGATGATCACACAATACACGCATGTTAGTAAATGACTTGCTAATCAAAAAATAATTTAAAGTCTCATAATCTCACCTGTTCGGTTGGCGATACTGATGGTGATTATTCGTCACTATTCAAATTACGAGATGACTTTGTGACCTTTGTTTCGTCACAGGACGAAGACAGGCTATAAACATAATCAAGGTCATCAGGGTCATCGTCATTATTGTCATTAACGAATTCCAGATCAGAACAATCTTCTTCGGTTTCATATATCTCTTTTGGCATTTAATAATTTCATTATCTCCTTCATCACCGTGATCTTGATTAGTCCGGAGATCTGAGATCTAGATGTTGAGAAGAAAAAGTGAATTTACTACGCATGATGTGAAACACGACGGAAACCTACCTTACTTTCCGGTGCACTCGCTTGTTGGGATCTGGTGTGCGTAAATTAGGATTTGATTCATAAATTCTTTAGAATCTTTCATGTGGTCTTGGATGGTGGGAAAAAAAAAATTTAATACATAAAAACATTTATAATATAAACTTAACTTTTTACTTACGTGATTGCGCTTTATTTCATATTCCTTTACAAATGACCTTAATTTACCGGGTAAAAACACTCTTGCAACTTTTGCATCCCTAATGGAATCATCTATTACGTCGTTAATGTATCCTAATTAATTTGCAAATAAGTAAGTTCCCTATGTATATAAACAAGTTTTCTCCCTCTTTTGTTAAAAAGAAAATAGATATTAGTATTAGATCGAATTAATACTTTTTTAATTATCTTATGCATTTAGACGGATCATAACACAGCACGAAGCCTGACAACCAGTTAGGACGAACCCAGCTTGTTGCGTTATGACAACTAACATATAGTATATTCAAGGGCGCCGAGGGAAGACGAACTCCACTCTCACTCGCCAGAACGAATCCAGCTGGTTACTCGGGGATTGTCAATATGTCACGATGTGTCCTAAGACCGGAACATATTCTAGCTCTTGAACCCAGCTATTAATTGCAGTATTGCACATCTCATACACTTAACTTCCGAAGAGACATGATTCAGAAAAAATGGTCAACGCGTTCTTATTCCTTATCTTTCTCATACGTAAAATTTTCGGTTCTCTATACTGGAGAAACTTTAGTAATGACTAAGTCGTATTATTTTCGAAGAAATTTTTCACTTGTAACAGTATTGGCAATTTATCCATTATTGTCCTTTGGTGGTTTTTTCGGTTTCTTTCAGTATTTTTTGACTACTGTATCACTGTATCACTATAATCCAGATTTATTTATACACTGAACCACGTGATAAATGATGTCACCGATATTGTGATTTGATCACGTAAATCATACACGAGTAAAGCCCGAAAGCGAAACTTTAATTATTTCACTGCGCCTATTATACGCGTGATGATCAAGGATTTTCTCGGCGAAGATCAAAATGCCGATATATAACAAGAAGAGTAATGTGTCCAGTTTATTTTGGAACATCTATAGAGGCGGGAAAATCGATTAACATGACATGTTTAGAGAAACTAGCCGAGCAATAAACCAACTTACTTTATTATTACTTACGAGTTGTTAATATCAATGATTTTAATAATGGTAAGAGCTTGATTAGTTTGAATTTTTTTTGCTTTACTTGCAAGGAGTATAAAAAGGATTCACTAACAGAGACATCACCTTTTTATATAATTTCCAGTATCAATTTTGGAATACGCTTTTGGGCAACACGAAAATCGATCGATCACTTCATAAAAGAATTTAACGCTATCCGTATGTAAAGATCATCAAGGGTCCTTTTTTCAATTGAGAATATGCGAAAACAAATTATTTTGCGCAATTACTTATTCCCGTGATACGTGTGACGACTACCCTTCCCTTTCCTTCCTTTCCTTACTCTCTCGCTCTTTCCCCTTTTCCCTCTTTCGCTTTTTCTTCCCTTTCCCTCCCTGACCAATGTTGCTGCACCTCAACGTTGGTGACAAGTTTTTTAAAGACTTGGCTAAGTCAGCAACAAATATTAACGATTTGTCCACTTTTATTAAATATATATATAACTGTAAATTAAAATAAAATTTTTTTATTTAATTTCTAATTTATAATTAATATTTTGATTATTCAATTTAAAATTTTCGCAAATGTATTATTGTCAAATGAGACAAATGCATATTGTATACAAAAGTTAATTTCAACTTAGGTCATTTAAACTTTATTATAGCTTTTAACAATTGTAATAACTAGCTAAAACTAGAATAATACTGGCGCCGTATATAAAAGTAGTAGATATTTGAGTGGTTTAATAAAATCTCATATAAGTTATATGTTTTTTGATCATTATAATCATTTTTAAATTTAAATTTATTTTAAATCAATTAAATAGCTTTGAATGGTAAAATAAAATTTCATTGTGATAAAGAAATCACTATTTATTAATATAAAAATATTTTTTTAGGCAAAAATATTAAAGAATAAACTAAATGAAGACGAAAATGATGGTAAATTACAACTGTTTTTTTTATGCATATATTGGCTTCCTTTATAAATTGGTAAAATTTTATATACTGTATACATTTTTTTTTATTTAGATTACGTTAATAATAATGGTATGATACGTAGATATATAATAATTAACAATATTTAATACAATCTAATATTTTTTTTTACTTCTTTAACTTTATAGAATATAGTACTAGCGAAATTCATTTTGATATTTAAATGTCGTATTTATTACATAATTATAAAAGTTATTTTTCATTGGTATATTTATTGAATATTTATATGCAAGAAATTGACAAAATTAATATCGAATCAAAAAAATTTGCATTACGCGTTCGAAATAAAAAGTAATATCAAAACAAAAAAAGTTTTGTTCCATAATTTAATTCTATACTTTATCACAATGGGAAATTTAGATTTTCAAATGTTTGTGGCTGCAATTTAGAAATCTATCAAGGAAAGATCGATAATCTTAAGGAAATTTCGATCGGAAAGACGGAATAGAATCTTAATTTTTCCTCAAAATACCTAGAATATAAGAAAATCTTGGTAAAGTTTTTTCGTTCTTAACGTTAACGTCGTCTTATTTTATAGGCATTTGAATTATGAGTCTGGAGATAAAACTTTGGAAATTAATGTTCGAAACTTTTTCTATTACGTGAAACTATATTAAAAAACCGGTAACTTTATTATAATTATAACATATAATTATTTTAAAAAAAATACCTTAAAGAAACTATAGCAACTATCTTTCATATAATATGCAGCTTATAAAAAATCTTAATCCTGGTATAATTGAATTAAAGACTTGTATCCCATATTATTAAATCGATTATTTGATTAAATAAAGTGAATAAGGATTAATAAAACAATAAAGAATTTCAGAATTTAATTCTATGTTGTATCACCCGAAAGATAATAAGAAATACAAAGAAATTTAGGCTACTCAAATGGTGTAACTATAATCAGAAAATCTATCAAGAAGAGAGATTCGCATTCTATAGTGACATTTTATGATTACTTAAGGAAATTTCTATCGGAAATTGCATATAATAGAATAAGAATTTGATTGAAAAAAAACTCCGGGTTTAATAAATTGAAGGTATTTAAATGGACATTTACAACGCTCAAAATTTTTAAAAGAATTGACGTAATAATGGAAAAAAAATACGTGAAATGTAGAGAATGTAATAAAATAAGAACTTCTTCATATGAAAATCATCAAATTTGTCATATTTGTTACATAGCAAAAAGAAGAATTATACCAAGTGGAAATAAAGTTATTGATGATTTTATCATATATACTCAAACTAATAATGAACAAGATAATGGGAAAATGATATTTGTTCCTTATGAAAATTTCAATAATATTGAACATATCGGTGAAGGAGGTTTTAGTAAAATTTATAAAGCTACTTGGATTGATTGTAAAATTTCTGATGAGGGTACTTTAGATTATACCCTACTTAATAAGTCTAAAACAGTTGCTCTTAAAAAGCTTAATGATTCTAAAGATATTACTTCAAAAGAATTAAACGAGGTAAATATTTCCATATTAATTTTATTAAATTCAAGACATATAATTTCAACTAATAAATTTTATTCAGCTCAAGATGTTTTATCATTATTCTTTAAATGGAGATAATTTAATTTACGATAGTCATTCAAGTCATGTTAACGTATATTATGGCATTACTCAAGATCGTATTACTCAAGATCTTATTTTTATTATGCCATATTATAATTCGGATTTGACGCATTATATAATTAAAGATTTTTTTAACATTCATTGGAGTTTTAAGTTAACTATTTTAAAAAACATTATAGACGGACTTGCAGATATTCATGGTGTGAATATTATACATCGAGATTTACATAGTGGAAATATTCTTTTCAGTGATCTTAAGGCAAGACTATGTGATTTAGGAACAAGTAAATCAGCAACTGAATCAACAGATAATGAAGAAGAGATTTATGGCATAATTCCTTATGTTGCACCAGAGGTTTTACAAGGAAAAAAGTATACCAAAGCTTCAGATATATATAGTTTTGGAATGATTATGTGGGAGGTAATGGTAGGAAGAAGACCTTTTTGGGATAGAAATCATAATACAGAACTTATAATTGAAATATGTGATGGTTTACGTCCACCAATTATTACAAATGCACCCGGAGGTTATATTGATTTAATGAAAAAATGCTGGCATTCTGATCCAGTAAAGAGACCAATAGCAGATGAAATATTAAAAGAAATTACGGAAATATATCATTATGGTCATAAACCTATAATTATAAAATCATCAGATATTGGGCCTGTGACAACAAATAATCCTAAAGCCATATATAAGAGTAGATATTTAAGTGACATGATAAAATCTGCAGCTTCTACAATAAGTTTAAGAATCCAATCCGTTACTTCAGAACTTGGTAAATAACTTGAAATTTTAATTGTACATTTTTCATAATTTTTAACTTAGTTCAAATTATTTAATGGTAATAATTTTTATGTTTGGTATAATTTATTTGATTATATAATTCTTAACGAACCTTAAGTCAAAAGAAAGTTTAATGATAACCAACTTGATAATAGTATTGATAATAGGTTTGATAATGGTATGATAATAAATTTTATATATTGTATATTGAATTTTAGAAACCAATTATTTATTAATCAAAGATATCTATTTAGGCAAAAATATTAAAAGGATTAAAATAATCAAAGATGAAAGTATTGGTAATTACTTTTTTATTATGCATGCATTTTTTATAAAATGATTAAATTTTGATTCTTCTTATTTAGATTACATCACAACAGAACTTGAATTTGATATCGATACAAAATCTGACCAATCTAACGATGGTAAGTAAAAATTATAAATAACAACCAATATATAATTTATAATCTAACATATTTTACATTTTCAACTTTATAGAATATATTACTAACGAAATCGATTTTGATATTTAATACTTTTTGAAGGAAAGATTATTATTCCTTATTTAGATATTAATTTTTACACCAGTAATGAAAAACGAGAATAATTAGAAAACGAACAAATAATTATTTTTCCGAACATAATATTTGAATACATTGCAGTAAATATTTATAATTTTAAAGTATTATTTTATTGGTTCGATAAACCACGTGTTTGACAATGATGTCAAAACCAGGTGAACGATTAATAGGCGTAAATAGGTTACACGGCAAAGTTTGCTACGCAAATTTTGCCGAGCAATATTGAAAATAATTTCAAATAATCTTATATGTGATGAAACCTATATATATATATATATATAAACGAGGAATAAATAATTCATTTAAATTTGTTTAATTTTCGTTTTGTAATAATTTTTTTCGTAAATCCGGAATAATCTGAATCTGATAAATCGAATATTCTCATATTTCAATCTTTGTTTTAGTAATTACCTACATTTAAAGAAACTAAATATATTTAAAGTATTTTAAACGGATGTAATCAATCTATTACGTTATTTCGCATAATGATATACCAAAGTTCAATTTCAGGCAGTTCTTTCAAAAATTAGTCTTTGTTCGAACAATTTGGATAATTTACGGTATATGATATTCTAAATATGATCACAATATCACAGGATAATGAATTTCTTAATTAATATATCATATATTACTAAAAAAAAGAAACTATCAATTAAATTAGCTAGAACAAAGTAAAACTTGCATTGTCACCATAATTACAAAATTAATTAATTTAATTATGAATTACAGTAATTACAGTAATTACAGTAATTATAGTAATTATAGTAATTATAGTAATTATAGTAATTATAGTAATTATAGTAATTATAGTAATTATAGTAATTACATTATGGAATTTCCCCGAGTTAGAACAAAGTTTCATATTATATTTATGCAATTTATTCCAAAACTTACCAATTTACCAATAGAGACATTTAACTGATATTGTTTACGTTTCGGATAAATTATAAAAAAATTCCGAGTCCTTTTAATGAATATTTACCGAGCTGAAAATACTGGTTCCAAATTATGTTTAAATAAACCGGTTAAATATATTTTATTTAAAGTAAGTTTACAAAAAAAAAATAATTTGTAAATATTTATTATTTTCGAGATACGATAAATAAGCAAAAATTATTAGTGTTCACGATGTAAATTATATGCCATGTGAGTGGGTCACGAGAGTTAATTTTTTTGACAAATTAATGCATTGTTAGGTCATTTCTAAATATTAATTGTTTTGTGTCACTTTTATAAGTTAATTGGATTTTCCGTTATTCACTAAATTAATTCCTCGTGTAACGTTAAACATATAATTAATTTAAATTAAATATTTCATAAGAAAATATTCTTTTTTTAAAAAAATATTGTTTCGAATAATTATACAAAGATATCAATTCACACTATAAACAGTTTATAAACAGTGTATTAATATTTGCCTGAAATTGATATTATAAACAAGGAGTTCTAATAATATAAGAAATATACGTATCGTTGTTTCTATGATATAACATTTCTCCGGATTTCTTTTTTTAAAAATTTAATTTTTTTGGGCATAATTATTAAAAAAATTATTTAATATAAAATAAACTTTTAATATAAAATTATTTTTGAGATCATCATCAATAGAAGATCGTCATTTCCAATAAAAAAATCCGATCATCAGTTGATTTATTTTTTTTACCATAAAAAGGATTATCTTTATTAAACATAAAGACGCCTATTAGCCTATTTGTCATAAAATTGTAATTATGCAGTTTGTAGTAACAAAAATAATAAGCCCAACTTTATCTTAGAAATTACATCATTTTTAGGTTTACAAAATCAAAAACCAAACATACGCACATTTCCGATGACCCTATTACAATTAAAAATCCCGATTACTAAAAATTTACCGATTAGTTATAAATATAAATAAATTATTTGATGTTTTTTTTATGATTATTTAGAATTGTGAGACAATATATATATATATAAAACGTTTTATTATACAAGACACAAGACATTTTGTTTTTTTTTTGATCCTTTACTTTCCTATCTCCTAACTAGCAAAATATTTGCAAAATAAAAAAATATATAGATATATATAGATAATATTTATTTTATTTATTTTTCATTTTTTTCATTTCAAAATAAAAAAAAATAGATTTTTTTTTCTTTCTCAAATTTTTTCATATTCATAAAAAAAAAAATGGCATCCTCCTCATCATCCTCCTCAATATCCACCTCAATATCCACCTCAATATTATCCTCCTCAATATTATCCTCAACGGAAAGTTCCTTACCTCATAAACACCATCATACTCACGATAATGAAAAAGCAAAATATTATTTATCAAAATTTCGAAATATAATTTTACAATCTTCTTCAAATTTACAAATCAGATTAATAGAACCTATATTATATTTTCAAGGAAATCCAGAAGAATCTTTGGGTTGTTTTATGAGAGGTGAATTAATAATGAATTTATCTAAACCAACTAAAATTAAACGAATTGAAATGAAATTTATTGGACGAATGAAAACTTATTGGCCTCAATGTAAATCTTACTATGGTAATTATCAATAATTATAATTATGTATTATAAAATCCCTTTAATAATAAAATTTCTCTAATATCTTTCCTTTAACATAAAATTATTTCTCTTTCCATTTAAAGGTTCTCATAAAAATCGTAATGAACTTTGTGAAGAATGTGAATTAATAAACCATAATTGGACTTTTCTTCCCTCACCAACTGCAAATTCTCTATTACACCCCTCTTCTTCATTACAAGATAATAATTATCTATTACCAGCAGGAATTTATACTTACCCTTTTGAATTGTTTCTTCCTGGTACTTTACCTGAAACTATTCAAGCTCAACTTGGTAATGTTAGTTATAAACTTCAAGCTACAGTTATCAAAGCGAAACTTTCTCCTAATCTACATACGTCTCATCATGTGACAATCATTCGTGATTTATCCGAAGAATCAAATTCTCAAGGAATTGCAATTTCAAGAGATTGGCTTGGTTTAATAAATTTTGAAATTACAATACCTAATAAAGCTTATTCAATAGGAGATTCTATTAATATTGATTTTAAAACAATTCCACAAGTTAAAAGAGTACAAGTCATTGGATTACGAATAGAATTAAACGAACAATCTATTTATAGATCACGTGGTCAAAAAAATATTGAATCAAAAATCCTTTCAGTTTATCGTATAAATAATAATAATAATAATTCAAATTCTGATAAAGATAATAATGAAATTATATTAGATGATATTTTTTATCATAAAAATTTCATTTTTCCTTTACCTAAATGTTCAAATTATATACATATTTCTTGTACTTGGCCATCAATAACTATATCACATAGTTTAAAATTTCATATAAATGTTAAAGTACCTATAAAATCAAAAATGACTGGAAATTTTACCAACAAATTTAAGAAAGAAGTTATTGAAATTGATGTACCAATCACTCTTTTATCTTGTAGATGCGCTGATAATTTACCTCAATATGATGAAAGTTGGTCTAATCTTAATCAAGATTATTCTCATAATTTAAATGATTTACCTCCCGCTTATGAAACTTCAATCGCTGATAAAAGGCGAACAACTAATCTTAGTGTTATTAATGAAAGTATTATTAATACCTCAATCAATAATAGTATTCAACGTCATTCTTTTCATCAATAAAAAAAATTGTATATAAATTATTATTTTTTATTTTAAAAAAATTAAATAAATTTGTTTTTTGTGAAAGTAAAAGAAATAAAAGATGTAAATAATAAAAGAGAAAAGTGCACCCAATACATTAAAAGAACAAAGAGATAACGAAGTGCTTCACTTTAAGGTAAGGTAAAAGTAAAGTAAAGAAATATGTAAATAATAAAAGAGAAAAGTGCACCCAATAAATTAAAAGAACAAAGAGATAACGAAGCGCTTCACTTTAAAGTAAGCAATTGATTATGAGAATTAAAAGGCTGTAATAAATTATGAGGAAATAAAAGGTATTGAAGTGCCATATTAGAAGTCCAATAAAAATATAAATAAACTTCTAAAGGAAATTTCCCACATCAACACTCCAAAGCTTTAACCCTTCAGAAATGTTGATGTGAGACATAACCTATATTTCAACCCCGCCCAAATTTCCCACATAATCATTCCAATACTTAAAATTCAACTCCACCTTAATTTCCCACATAATCATTCCAATCAATAAAAACTTCAACTTCCTCCTAATTTCCCACATAATCATTCCAATCTTTGGATTAAACAATATCTGAATCTAAAAGAAAAATTTCATGTTAATAAATATGGAATAACATTTTTTTCTTTTCCTTTAGCGTCTAATCTAATAGAAATCACATAGGTATGTTAGCATTACTTGTATCCTAAAAGATTTGAACATGTTACTGGAACATATTTTCGATCTTTTAATCCAAGTTTGGAGAAGTTGTCATATCAGATACAAGAATTTTCACACATATCATAAAAGACTAGTACTAATCTCATTTTATTTTTTAGGTATTTTTATAAACTCATACTCTTAGACTATCGGTAATAAATTAATAAATTATAAAGCGTTTACTTACTGATCTATGGCAGCTCGCCGATAATATTCTAACCATTTTAAAATCTATTTGCATAATTTAGGAAAGAAACTAATTTTGTTAATAAAATTTTAAGTTACTTTAATGTTAGGTATTTAATAAGCGTGAATGTAAATGCGATAGAATATTTTTTAATGTTGGTCCAATATAAATTTTTTTAAGGATGTGTATAGTGTTAAGAGTTAGGAGAGTGAGGAAATTTTTTGAAATAGTTTAAAAAAAAAAAAATCTTTTTTTATATGCAACTAATTCCGAAAGGTTCCAAAAAAAGATGAATAAAAAACGTGTGACAAATCTTTGTTATACAGACATCACGTGTGTCACGTGTGTCACATGTGTAAATGTGTAATACTTTTTGGGGAATCTTAACCTGTTCCTAGGGGTATACGTTACTTATCCTGTTCCCCCTTACGTCACACACTGATTTTATTTGTTTATCGTTTACGCTTCAATAGGGATGTTAACGGTTCGGTCCATCCGGTTTTCGGTCCAAAAACTGGTGGTTTGAGTACAAAACCGAACCGTTATAGGTTTAGAACCAGAGTTTGAACCGAAGTTTGGACTGAAGTTTAGACCGAAGTTTAGACCGGATATTTATAGTATTTTATACAAAATTGTGTAATGCAGATCATGAATTTAAATATATCGTATATCGTCAAAAAATTTTTTATTATAAGAAAAAAAATTACCAACAAAATTTCACATAATGTAAAAAAAAAGGAAAAAAAAAAAGACATATTGCAAGTATTGATTCAATTTTCCATTCTTTCTTTTTCTGATATCCAATTTTTCATGCATATAATTGCCCTTGCCGTTTCAGGATCTAACCTATTTCTAGTTTTTGAAATAGTTAATCCCGAAATTGAAAATGCCCTTTCTGATGGAACCGACGTTGCTTGGATTGTTAAATAATCCTTAGCTATTTGAGATAGTACTGGGTAATCCTTTTCATAAGTTTTCCACCAAATTAAAGAACCTGTATTACTATCTACTGGAGAATTTAAGTATCGATCTAATTCATCATGCGATACTTCTTGACGAATATTATTTGGATTAAGTAAATTAAGAAAATAATCACGAGATGATCGTGCTGGTGCTGATGGTATGGTTTGATTATTTAAGGGTAAATATGACAAATATAATTCTTGTAATTTACTAATAATTTCAGTTATATCATTATGACTAAATAATGTGGTTTTGTAGCGTGGATCTAATATTGAAGAAGTAATGGAAGATTGATTCAAATATTTGTCCCAATAGGCTTTCAATTTATTACAAATTGCTGATGCTATTGCCTTTTGTGTATGGTGATTTCCTCTTTGATAATGATCCAATTTTTTAAACATTCCATTAAAAACCAATCTTATATCACCTTGTGTAGGATTTTTTGATGATGATAATAAATTGGTTGCTTCATACATAGGTTCTAATACCTTTGCTAATTCCTGTAAAAAAAAAAATAATAATTAATAAATATATAATTATAAAATAAAATAAATAATAATTTATAAAATAAAAAATACCTTAATATGTCGCCATTCAGATATTGTTGGAAATAAATCTCCAAGTTCTTCAACATTTGTTGTTGCAAGTAATTCTGAAACACCCTGCATTAAGATTTGTCTATTAATCATAAAATATGTGGAATTCCAGCGAATGTCTATATCTAAAATTGGTTTAAGAAATTTAACTTTTTTAAGGGTACAAATTTCTGATAATTTATCCAAAAATAATGGTGAATTCTTGATTTTAACAACAAATTGACGAAGTTTTTTGATTTCATTTCCAACATGACTCATTCCTGCTTTTACTGCTAAATTTATAATATGTGCAGCACATCTGTAATGAGTAAAAGCCATATTATTAAACTCCTGATCTAATTCAGTTGCTAGTTGATTACCACATGCTATCATGTTGCTTCCATTGTCTGTAGTTAATGCAAGAATATTATTACTGATACTAAACTCTTCAAGAATTTGTAAAAGCTTGCTAGTAATTAACCCAGCTGTATGAGAACCATTTACAGGAATTAAATCAAGTAAGAGATTTTTTAATTCCCAATTGTTGTTAATATAATGCATTGTTACTCCAAGATAACAATCTTTTGAGATTTCTGAAGTCCAAATATCAGTAGTAAGAGAGATTTTTGAGTTAATTTGTGAGACTTCATTAATTAACACATTTTTTCTCATTTTATAATTTTCTATGAATTTTTCCTTTAAGGTTTGTCTGCAAGGTAAAATATAGTGGGGATTCAATTTATTAATTAATAATTTGAATTCAGGATTTTCAACAATGGTAAAAGGTTGCAAATCAGTTGCAACAAAATCAACCAAAGAATCTGTGATAGGTTTAGATTTTGATGGAGAGTAAGGTTTAAAACGTAAAGTAGTTTGGCGGGTTTCAGGTTTTTTATAATGTGATGGATGTTTTTTAGTTAAATGACGTCGAAGTGTAGATGTTGGATTACCAGGTGAATAAAGTTTTGCACACAAAATACACTTATAGTTTGTAATTAACCAACTTTCCTCATCTTGAATTTTTTGAAAAAACTCCCAAACATCTGCTGACAATTTCTTATTTATAATTCTTTCATCATCAGATGCTAAGGAATCATCTGATAAATTATTATCGTCATTTTCAAAAACTCCCGACATAGTTGTAATAATGCAAGGTGATATAAAAAAATGTAAGAATGTAAAATCCGTTATTCTTTTATTGTAAAAAGTTACGCGTGCAGATACACGTAACCGTTAATTGAACCGATCTAAAACCGGTTCACTAAACCGGTTTCTATCGGTTCGGTCTCGGTTTGGTTTGACGTTTGAACTGAACTGAAACCGGTCCTATGATCAAACTGCGGTTCGAACCATCCAATCATAAACTGTTAACATCCCTACGCTTCAACAATAAACTGTATACACACTCTCTTTCTTTTTCTTTCACTTTTTCTCATTTCTATGAAATCGTTTTACAGGAATAAAGGTATGAAGTTATATAATTAATTTAAAATTTTATAAAATTACTTGAGGTTTATAAGAGTTTTTATAGTAAAAATTACAGTGCGCGCTTGTTTTTTAACTTTATTAATATAATTACAACAGCTTATCCAAAGTAAACGCGTTCTTAAGAGTTAAATAAAGTTGTTCTGCAGAGATGGGACTATTAAGTATTTAATTTTATCAAGTTAAGTGTGAATATTTATGAAATTATATTTATTTTTTTTTATTTTTTTGTTATATTTTATACAGATACTTCGTCGCGTAATTTAAACATTATGACCAAAAATAACTAATTTTGAATAAGTATAACTGTTTAATGAATATAAAAATATTTAAATATTAATTTTCGTTATTGTCTGAGTTAGTATTCATAGATTTTGTAATAAAATTTAGTAATTTACTGTGTATATACAAGTTTTATGAAAAATTTGTGTTAGTTTATTAAAGTTTAATAAAATACAAAATAAAATTATTAAACTGAAAAAACTGAATAAAATATATTGAGTGTTATAAAAATTTTTTCCTTCTTGTTATATGTGTAATTAAATTTTTTTTGCTCTTGTTTTTTTTCGTTCTTGTTTTTTTTCGCGAAATAAGATATTTTCTAAGATAAAGTTACACGAAATTTGTGGCTACAATTTGAGCCAATCATATTTAAGAAAAAGGGGGAACAGAATAATATCGTATACCCGGAGTACAGGTTAAGGATCCCCATACTTTTTATCTTGATAATAAAAAAAGATAATCAAATTCAAAAAAAAAGGCTGAAAATTGTTTATTATTTTCGTCAATTGACTTAAATTTACTTGGCAAATACATTTTTTACGAACGGAAAATGTCCGGAATCAGCCTGTCGAGCGAGTATGCAATTACTGCAATAAAAGCTATTGAGAAAAAATCAGAAGAATTGAGGACTCTTAGTTTACAGGTACACTTTAGGTACATTATAAATGTAAATAAAATTTTGTTTAATTAGTCGAGGTTAAAAAAATGTTTGTATAAATATTAGATCCATGAAAAACCAGAATTAGGTTAGTTTATGATGTTATACAGTCGACTCTCTATAAATGCACCACTTGTAAGTGCATTCCCCTTCTAAATGCACTCAGTCCCCAGTATATATGACCTCTAATTATTTATTCTCTATAATTGCACACTTTTTTCCGGTCCCAAGGAGGACACACCTAAAGAGAATTGACTGTAATTACAATACAATAATACTTTTATCTGATGCTTTCATAAAATTTATCATATTGCATATATTCAATATATAGGTGGAGAAGAAATATTTGCTCATAATTTATTAGTGACATATCTTGAAGATCAAGGTAAATTTTTAGTTTGAGAAAAATAAGTATTTAATTGCAAAATTTTTTGATAATAATATTATTCGTTCCTAATTAAAGGATTTGATGTAACACCCAGTGCATACGGCATTAAAACAGCGTTTGTAGCAGAATTTTCATCTAAAGGTGGTGAAGGAAAAGTTGTTTCATTTAATTCCGAGTAAGTAAACGAACCTATGGTCAATTTAATTTGTATTGGAACGGATCATAATTTCTCTCTTTTAACAGATATGATGCTCTTCCAGGAATTGGTCACGCTTGTGGTCATAGTGAGTTATTATATTTCTAAATCACAATAACAATAACAATAATATAATAAATTTCTTAATAATTATCAAATAAATCTAAATAAGTTATTTATAATCAAAATTTTTTTTACATTTAGATCTGATTGCAATTGGTGGAATTGCTGCTGCAATTGCGATAAAAGCTGTATTTGAAAAACATGAAATTCCTGGAAAAGTAAAATTATTTGGTACCCCTGATGAAGGTTGATATCAAGATAATTATTATTGTTACCTCTAAGTGCATCCCTCTTTGGATCATAGTAGGGATGGGGGCTGGTTCTGAACCGATACTATTGAGCGAACCGACTTGAGCCGGTTAAAATTGGATGAGCCGGTTCCAGTTTACGATTTGGTCAGTTTGATCTAGAACCGAGTCAGTTCATATCAAAAAATTTATTAAAACCAGTGAACCGAAAGTACCGAACCGAACAGGAACAAACCGACTCGACCGCTTAACTACGAACTTTTCCCATCTCTAGATCATATTAGTGTGTGCACTTAGAGGGTGTATTAATGTAATTCTTTCTTTTTTTTATTTACGAATTTTTTTTATATGTTTCAGAAACAGGGGGAGGCAAAGTTAATTTGATCAAAGCTGGTGCTTATGACGATGTTGATATCTCTTTAATGGCCCATCCCACGTAAAGTTATTAATTAATTGATTATTTCTTTGAAATAAATGAAATAAAATTATTCATATATTATCTTTATTTTTATAAAGTTCTTACGATGGAAGTTTCTTTCGCTTTTTAGCTATTGAATATTGTGAGGTTGAATATTTTGGAAGAAATGCGCATGCAGCTGGAATACCTTGGGAAGGAATTAACGCATTGGATGCCATGTTTTTGGCTTATAATAGTATCGGATTATTAAGACAACAGATTTTACCTACGGATAGGTAGAATTCAGTTCATTAACTCATGGGATTAATTGTAACTTATAATCTGATTTTTTTTTTTTATTAATTCTAAAAACCTTTATAGAATTCACGGAATCATAAGTGATGGTGGTAAATCGCCAAATGGTATATATATTTTTTATTGTTATATTATATTGTACAATTTTTTGACGTATCAATTAATTTCTGTATAATAATTAGTTATTCCCGATTATACATCCGGGAAATTTTATATTCGTGGAAGAACAATTGAAAATCTACGCGCTTTGAAGCCACGTGTTTATAAATGTTTTGAAGCGGCTGCTGAAGCAACTGGATGTACAAAGGCAAATGGAGCCAAAGATCTTAAAATCACTCGGAAAGACGAAGTTTTCGGTTAGTCTTATTTAGTTTATTTATCGGCTAAATCGAATATTTTTAATCTGAAAATTTGATTTTCTCTCTTTTTAAGACGTGAACACAAATGTTCCTTTAGGTGAAAGATATGAGGAACATCTTAAAAAATTCGGTATAAAATTTTTATCGAAAAGCGAACAAGAAAAAGTATCAAGAGGTTCAACTGATCAGGGAAATGTGACTTACGTAGTTCCCGGTATCCATGCATTATATGATATAAAACCTCCAGGAGGAATTGCAAATCATACGCCTGAATTCGCAGAAGCTTCTAAAACTGAAATTGCACATAAAGCTACTTTAACAGCCTCAAAGGGAATTGCGTTAACTGGTTTAGACTTTTTGATTGATGATGAATTTTCTCAACAAGTTAGATATTCTTTTAAGGGTGGGCTTCATTGGAAAGATTCGATGTGAATTTTAAATTTTAGGTAGAATCTTGTACTGTATAGTATAGGTATTTATTGTATATTAGGTATTTATTGTATTTAGGTATTTATTGTATTAGGTATTTATTGTATTAGGTATTTATTTATTGTAGTATATATTTATTGTATTATATATTTATTCTATTATATATTTATTGTATTATTTATTTATTGTATTATTTTATTTGTATAATGACGTTGATTTTGAATTTGATGGGTTTTCGAATTTGATGGATTGGGTTCAAGCACGTCTCAATCATCTCATCAAATGGTTCGAATTCAATGGATTGAGTTCAAGTCCGTCTCATTAAATAGTTTGGCGCACAACCGGTCGAATTTGGTGTGCCGGGTTCAAGTCTGTCTCATCAAATGGCTTTCTAAATAAAAAAATCATCTATTTATAAGATGCCCTTGATGATGGAAATTGTTTTTATCATAATTTTTGGTATTATAAATACTATTATTTAATAATTTAATGAAATATGTAATATAGTAATTATATTAAATATTCAACACATCGTATCCATAGGCTTAGAAAAAGATTTGGAGAAAAAAGGTTTAGGAAAAAAGGTTTAGGGAGAAGATTTAGAAAAGGGGTGAAAAAAGATTTAGATAAAAGAATGGAGAAAGATTTAGATAAAAGTTTAGGTAAAGATTTAGAAAACCTCTGTACACTTAGCAAAGGGTAAGAAAAAACATTTAGAAAAAAGTTTATAGTTTAAAAAGTCATTAAATCCATGGTGTATACGATGAATAAAGATATTGGTAAATAATTTAGTTATTCTCAAATCTCAATATCTAAGGATTAACAAGTATGTGACTAATATTTTCCAATTACTCCAGTTTAGTCTATAGGCTGTCTCTTATACACATCTAGATGTGTATAAGAGACAGGTCTATAGGTTACTATGATTTTTGCAGAAAAACATGTAGGAGAATGAATACAAATCAAGAATTTTGTAATAATACTTCAAAGGTTACTATGATTTTTGCAGAAAAACATGTAGGAGAATGAATACAAATAAAGAATTTTGCTACAATATTTAATAAAAAGATGTTAAATTTGTAAATCAGTTAAATATTTTAGTAAACAATAATTATTAATTCTAAACTTTCTGCAATATCTAAACTTTCTATAATATATATATTCCAATATTTATTAATTCTAAAATATATATATTTCAATATTTATTAATTCTAAACCATATATATATTCCAATATTTATTAATTCTAAATCTTTCTGTAATATATAATATATATTCCAATATTTATTAATTCTAAAACTTTCTGTAATATATACAGTATACTCCAATATTAAATAACGCGAACCAGATTTTAAATGATAATTTTTCTCCTCCCAACGACTGTAATTACAGTTGTGTATATTACCCAATAAAATAATACATGGATCGTTACCAAATAATATAATTCAAATTCTGGATTTAAATTATAATTCTGGACATGAGATACAAATTACAGTATAAAAAATTTGTGTGTATCGTATTAAAGAGAAAAAGGCTAAAAGTTTGAGAAGTTTGAGAAGTTCGAGAAGCGTGAAAGTGAGAATAAAATTATTATAAATTCGAGTGTGAAAGCGAGAATAAAATTATTATAAATTCGAGTGTGAAAGTGAGAATAAAATTATTATAATAAAATAATTTTTAAAAAAATTTATTTTAAATAAATCGTTCTTGACCAATTTTAATATTAAAATCTACATCGCAACTATCGCAACTATCGAGAAAAAATATTATTACTGAAAATAAATTGAATAAATTACATATCCACTTTATAATATTAGATGTTGTAGTAACTTCGTTCCTTTAATTTCGAACAAAAAAAAAGGGGTAAAAAAAAATTCAGTATCAAACGAAAAAAAAAAAAGGTAAATTGACAAAAATCACAAAAAACCCTGAACCTGACGGATAAAAAAAAATTATACCAATCAACAACAAAAAGAAATCAGGATTGAATTTTTCTAAAATTTCAAAGAAAAAATAGTAAAAATATGACGTGTAACAAAAATAAGTTATGTAATGGACCAGGATAAGAGTTCCCGGACGCCGGGATTTGGGTTAAGTTTTCCCATTTAGTATAGTGTCAAAAAAACACGTACAAATTAACAACAAAATAAAAAGGATACTTATTTATTTGTTATTAAAAATTAATGGTTTTATAGAATGAAACCATAATATAAACGCCCACGCCCATTATTCAAACCATTATTTGGATCATATAAACTTAAAAATATATACTAAAAAAAATTTTTACAATCAGTAAAGTTTATTAAACGGATTTTCCGAAAAAAATATTTTTTTTTTAAAAAAGGTAAACGTAATACCATGTTATCGGATCTTTTTTCCGAATATTATTCTTCGGATCTGACGTGATAATCTTTTAAGGAAAAAAAAAAAATAATAATAAAATAATAATTTGACATGTTTATGTTTAGTTGTGGCTGACGGTTGATCTCGATCGAGAATATCTTTGACTTCTCACTCGTGTTACTATCTTGTATGAATGCGTGTCAAAGAAAGTAAGGTGATACAAGTCAGGAAGATAACTTTTGCAACACCAACGGGTTTTTTTTTCTAATCTATGTCCGAGTTTAACCGAAGTAAATGTAGATCATGATTTCAAATTTTTTTTTAAATAACTCAATAATTAAGTTATGAGATCTCAGGAGATAATTTGGAACGAATCATAAAAAAAAAGAATTTTTTTAAAACGGTTCGGTAAAAATCGGCTTTTTTTCCCGAAACCCCAAAAAGTTCTTCAACATCCCCAACTTATTTCCCCTTATTTCATGAATGAAAAAAAATTCTTAACGCCTAACCATCTAAATATTATAATTATTATACTCAGTAACAAATATTTGTTCACGTGTTTCGCGTATTTCATGTAATAGTTAAATTAAAAACGTGTCATTTAATTATTGTTAATCGTATAATAAAAAGGCAAGGTTCCCTCATACAATATTTTAACATGTACAGACAGTACAGTATATACTGTATATATATATAATCAATGCATATGATAAACGGCGGGTAATGTCAGTTTAATAAAATATTATTATAATTGTTTCAATTACAGTAATTAATGAATTTGTTAATTTGTTTGATTACTAAAAAAAAAAAGAAAAACAAACAAAAAAAAAATAATAAAAAAAATAAATAAATAAACATGGTGTAAAATTAAAAAAGTTCACCTTTTATAAAAATTATAAGTTAATTTTTGGATTAGACCAAGTAATCCCATTTGTCCCATTTTATTTACTTACACATTTAGAAAATATTCATATTCGGGAATATTTTCTGAATTATCTGATTGTAAATCATCACTATAAAAAGAAGTTCCCATCCTCATATATTAATAGAAAGTTTTTGCTTTACTGTACATTGTTTGTCGGGTAATCGATACCATTTGTTACCTACCCTTTTATATGATAAATTTGGGTAAAGAATAATATAAGGTTTAATTAAATTATATATATATATATATAATGATTTTTTTTCTTATCAATCAAAGATATCTTTATTTATATAAATGTATGTGTAATTCTGGAATAAAAATTTTGAGCATTCAATGGTTTACCATTTTTTTCAAAAAATAATTAATTATATACAAGGATTTTCAATATTAATTAGAACCCCTCAAAAACCCCAGGGACTTCCCCAGAAATCACGATTTATGGGGGTAACTGGTTTACCTGGTTTACGTAAAGAAAAAATTTTAAATTAAATTAATTTCGGAAAATATAATTGTAAGATGAAGAGGGGGGGGTTCAATTTGGTGATACAACTTAATGCTTGCTTTTACTTGGCACTACATTAGATCAACATACAATTGTCCTAAAATATTACAAAGTTGATTTTTAGTGTTCTTTCAAATCCGTTTAATTTTGTTACAATAAACATTAACCCTGACACTAAAATAAATACAATCGGTCCATTCTTGAAGTCATCGAGAAAAAAAATGTTGAGTTACATATTTGTGTACTATGCAATGGATAAAAATCAACAATACAATAAATTGATTAACACGTAAAAATTTCTGATTGAAAAAAAAACCTTGTGAAACCAAAAAAATCGCTTTTTTCCGTAATAGAAATGTTAACCATTTGATTTTCAGTTTCAATCGCAATCTGCAATATAAATACTTGTAATAAGATAACTGTGAAAACCTGTGACTGGCTGCAATCGAGTTACGCCACTGTGTCCATACCAGGATTCATTTTGATTTTTTTACACATGCTATATATAATTAACTATATGCATTATACATACATATATACATATATAGTTATATACATATATACATCATACATATTATACGTGTATTATAACAAAATTTTAATAAATGGTCGAACAAAAACTATTGATAGAATTATACTTTTTTTTTTTTATTATGAATTATACTTTATAAGATTATTATTTATTTATTTTTTTCTATGAACTACATTTTTTTATCCGTTTCATTTCGATAAAATTGGTACAAAATACCACGTGAAACAAGGATACTATAACAAATAATATTTGGCGCGGGCAACGTATTACACGTAAAATATAAATGGGCTTGAATGAATATGATTTATGTAAAAAAAAATGGGAGATTTTTGTGGATTTATTTATTTATTTTTTACTAATAAAAAAATCAGAAAAATTCCGAATCTGTAATATTGATTAGGTAAAAAAAAAAAAAAATAATAAATATGGATTAATAAAGTTTTTTACTTTTTAAAGAGAACTAAACATTTAGATTCTTTATAACAATAATAGAGTCTGTGCATTTTTTTAAGCCATTTTACCTTATCAAGTGATTATTTTTATAATAAAAAAAAAAAAAAAGACATTTCACAAAAAAAATCAGGAGATGATCTATTCAACGATCTATTGTAAGCTGTTTTCACATGTCCACCTTATATAATTTCGATTTTTCGATTTTATAGTTAAAAAATTATACCAAATTAAACTACTAATTATACTATC